AAGAAAATATAGCGTCTTATTTCAGCCATAACAATTATGTTCCAAAACAACTAAACTGTCAATTCTGTTTCCGAGGAAACCTATTTATTTCTGGATAACATTTTTTCTGATATAACTGAAATGTGTTTTTAATGAGAGGCAGGACTTTCATCCGGGAGACTGAGGTTTATGTCCCGTGTGAAACCAAAAGTCAAGGTTTTATAATATATAACTCCATCCATAAAGAGCATGCTTATTATAGACCAACCAAGAGCTTTGACTCATGTTATGTTGCCTTTCTGTTGGGTTGTTTTTATTGTACACCATTAACCCAGGTTTAACACTGCAACCGTTTTCTGTGAAGAAAGTCCTTATATAATAAATTCAGACTGAGTTATGTTACATGGGAACATAATAACATGGTTGCTTATTTCATACATCTTGAGAAACAACTGTAACAGCTATCATTTTTCTGCACGCAGGACTCCAAGGAGAAAGAAGAGAGTCACGAGCTGTCGGCAGCTATAAAACAGGAAATATCTCTGAGAGATGAACCAATTGTAATCGAGGAGGAAGAGTTACATCTCACCCTCAAGAAAGAGGAGTCCTTGGGGGTGGAGCGGCCATCTTTACTCTGCCCCAAAGAGCAAGACTGCAGAGCCCCACATCTACTCCTCCACACGGGGCCCGGGCCCCAGCCTGAATGGAGGCAAATCAGCGAAGCCCTCCAAGCAAAACTGTCCTGTGAACAGCAAAGTGAAGGGCATTTCTTTCCTAAAAGCCCCTACCTACCACACCGTTGGGATCAGAACAAACCTGCTGGACATGTTGCTCTGCCCGAGCCCTCCTCCAGGGTCAAAGACTCCGTAGAAAGTCACGGTGGGAGAGTGGGGAAAGTGTTACCAATGTGTAAGCAGGCAGAGTGTATAGACTTGAGCACAGATTCCTATCCAGAGAAAGAAGACTATGGGGTCATTAGGAAGGAGTCGATCCAGACCCCCGCACAGACCGCCGCCTACTGCAAAGCCAGCCAGGGGGTCATGTCTCCTTTAGCCAAAAAGAAGCTCCTCTCCCAAGTGTGTGAGTCCAACCCTTTCTCCTTTACTACTCCTTCTCTTCAGCCTCCACCTCCCACCGCCACTTCCTCTCTCCCTGTCATATCAGTTCCTGAAAGGGAGAAGAGAAAGGGTGAGGAGGAGGTGGTGGGACAGAGGTGTGTGTCGGACAGCATCCCGGAGGTAGCGCCCATTTTCAGGCCCTCGGTCATCCAGCACGCCCAGAGCAGCAAGCCTCACCAACAAGCCTCCAGCGGGGCGTCAGAGAGGAGCGCAGCGGGGGAGAGTTACAGCTGTCGGACAAGCCATCACCTCCAGCCTTCAATGAACCCGCCGTGGCAACCCTATCTCCCCCGATGCCATGCCCAGGACGGCATGGAGAGCGCCGAGGAGAAGCTCCTGAAGGGCTCCCAGCCCCGGAGCTACACGGGCGACTGTTACTCCTCGCCTCACCTCCACAGTTTGTACAGGCAAACTGAGAACTGCCTGAGCCAGGAGAGGATGGTGGGCTTCCCCAACGGAGACCGGAGGGAGCGCTACAGCAGGGAGCACGAGGGCAGCTTTGTGGTGAGCGGGCTGGAGCAGGAGGGCTTAGCCTACAGATCCCACTACAGCGACAGGACTCAAACACACGCCGAGAGGAGAGAGGCGGACGATGAGCCCAGAGACTTTACAATCGCTAAACCTCTCTCTCAGAGGGTGTCCCCCTACTCCAAGTCCTCCTTCTGCGGGCTACCGTATCCCATCATGCACCAGGGTTTGGATTCCCACCCTAAGTCGTGCAGAGTTCCCCCAATGACCATCTCTCCCTCGAAACAGAGCCCGGCAGAGTCCTTGCAGCCGTTCCCCAGCCCCAAATCTGAGAGGGATTCGTCCCTCACCAGCCCCATCAGACCCAGCAAGCGAAGCCACGCGGACCTGGAGAGCGAGGAGGTCCCGGAGAGGAAGGTCCGCGTGGTGACCCCCATCCACCCCACGGGGGCCATCCGACGCAGCGACCCGGAGGAGCTCAAACCAGCCGAGCCGGCCCACGCAGTTCACCTCAACAACCATCTCCCCGAGGGCCACCCAGCAACGACCTACCCCCACCACCTCTACACTGCCATGTACCCCCCCGTCAGCCTGGTCTCCCATGGCGAGCACCCGGGCCTGCAGTACCTGAAGAGCCAGTCGGCGGTGTCCCCCCTGGTGCCGCCGCTGGCCTTCCACTCCATGATGCTCCACCGGCAGCTGCTGAGCGCCAGCCCCAGCCCGCACCACTTCTACCGGCACCCGGGGGGGGCGGCGCTGTACGGGGACCTGCTGCACCACCTGTACCCGCTCTCCACCCTCCACCCCCCTCAGCTGTCCTCGGTACACCCCAGCACCAGACTGTGAGGGAGAGAGATTTCTTTCTTTCTTCATCCTCAGAAAACTTTCTCAGCTTCTCTTTCTGTCTCTCTTTGCTCGGGGATTGTGGCTCAGTCGAAAAAATAAATAAACACTGATTATAAAAAACTATGGCTGATTACAGACTGATAAACTCATCATTCAGGCAGACTGAAGATTCCATTTTCTTTTGTTTTTTTTATTTGTGTATACATTTGTTTATATACTTTGCACTGTTCTTTATTTTGTATCACCACTTACTGTATCTTTTGTTGTTGTTGTTGTTGTTGTATCCTTATTTGCACAATGCTCATGTGTATGTGCTCACAAATCAGTTTGCCGCTCTCAGTCACCATGAGTCAGGTTGTTGCTCGGGATGTGTGAAAAGTGGAGGGCAACAGAGAAAAGCCATTTGTTTACTGCGTCTGAGGGCTAAACTTTTTTGCTTAAAAACACTACAAGTAACATGACAACGTAAATGAAATTCTTTATATAACTAGAGGTGCGTTCACCATCACAAAAAACGTTCAGCAGCTGTTTAGTGCATTATTACACTTTAAGCAGCCAATGGTGTTGCATTTGTTTACATGTCTCCACGCTGAACGCTGTTGCCAGTTTCTGCCACAGTAAATCCTCCGTGGCATAAACATTAACACTCATTGCGGTGCTGCATAACATGAAATGGTGTTACCGTGACATCCAGAGGTGCTGTGTATAACAGATGTACTGTAGGCTCACACAGTTCAGGTCTTTATTCGTTAATATTTCAGTCCAGATCATCAAGCAGTTGTCAATCGGGTTGACAAATCATGAATGTTTTTTAGTTAATGAAAAGCTTCATTTGTATTTCCTAAATTGAGATTAATTTTGATCCCAAACCCCCTTGTGATGAGTAGACTGTAGCAGCTTGTTTTCCTCGTCTGTAGGACCAGCGTAATGAAGCAGCCGTCTGCTGTGGAAGGCTCACCACAAGAAATCAGCATTTCATCTTTTTGTTGTCGACTTGAAAAGCTCTTTTTTGGTGAACAGACTCTTTTTATTCAAAGAAAAGACTCACTGTATAATTTGATAGGAATGTTGTCACTTATGATATTATTGCTTTGCAAATATCTGTGCCTTTCGCAGTCTTGGATTAGAGTTAGCACTACAGTTGTTAAGGTTTATCTTCTGTAGCAGGGTAGAAATATCAATATTACTGTCACTCGTGTCTGAAATGCAGCGCTCAGACACTCATACAAAAACTAAACGGCACACTTGGCTTTCAGACACCAGATAGGCACAACATTTTAAGTTTTTAAAATATAAACAGTTATGCTTTAACCTAATGGTTAGTATTGTGCTTAAATGACTCCATGTACTTAGCTGAACTGTGTCAGGCAGTCAATTATAGAAGAAAAGATTGACTTGTAGTTGATATTGACACAGGTCTGGTGTCTGTTATCCGCAGGGCGTGTGCGCTTCAGGTGTTTTCTTAGCAGTGATGAAAAGGTACAAGACTCCATAAAGTATGCCGACCACGCTGAAGCGCCTGAGGTGGAGACACAACACCTGCTCTGGCTTTTACAACCACTATAATTGCAATCCAGGATAGTCGAAATACACAGTCAAACATGTCTGGTGTTTCAAAAGAAGAAGAAAAAGAAGCTGTTAACGTCTGTGTAGAGATTTACTGAATACTTAGATAAAGATCATTTCTGATTAAGTACTGTACATTGCTGTGTGTAGGTAAAACTGGCATTAGTGCTGGTTTCTGTACAGAACATTCATATGGGATCAACTCATGACAACCCCTCTCTTGTCTTATTTTCTGTGTAAATAGCACTGTAGATAGTACCGCGTGGTTGTTATCATATAAACTGTTATAATCTGTAAATAGTATAAAAACAGTATAAAAGTCGGTTACACAATCTAGCTGTGTCCTTGTTTGCTCTGTGTCAAGGTCACCACGATCCTGATATATTTAAACAAACACTACAATTTAAGATTTAGGATACTTTTTATTTGTTGTCGGTTCACATTTTTTTCCACGTTGTCTCCATTATTGTGCATCCTGAAAGTGTTTTTGATACAGTAGCCATCTGTTTACCAATCACCCGGCTGGTGAGCAAGACAAAAAAATAAAATACATTTTGTATGATATGACCTCCTGTATATTTAATTAAAATATTTTACTATCTATACATGTTTCCTCCAGTTGTGTTCTTTAACTGAACTGCAGATAACTAGCCAGTGGAGAATAAAGTGATATTTAATGCTAGTGTTCAGACAATGTCGATGTAATGTTCTTGTTTCCGGAGTAAATGCAGTGTGCAGCATGAATGGGGTTTTTATTATTGTAATACCATTATCTAGCTAAGAGATTCAATCCGCCTTAATGTTCACAACAGGCTACCTCTGGGCTCGCAGCCAGAGGAGCTCCTCCAGTGTTTGCTGCAGTAGAGAAATGTGCCAGTGCACGTATCTCCATGGGATGTGTGTTGGGCTGCAATAAAAAGCTACACTCTGATTTTTATTGCCACCCCCTGGTAAACCTTTACCATGAAACATATTCAGTAATACTCCCAAGCTCAGCAGAAAATAAAAGCAGCCTCACCAGGGTAGAATGTAGGCCTTTTTATTGCAGATCAGCAATAATAACAAAGAACAGTTATCTTGCAAGACATCACTGTGAGACAAATTGCACCTTTTGAGAAACAAAGAAATACAATATTATTTTCCATTGCACTAATCACTCTGCACAAGATGAATGCATCTCTACTTACTAGTACATAAACAAGGTGCTATTTTCTAGGTTCTATATAATTAATGTGCTAAGTAACATTGAGATGACGTGTAATAATTATTGTATAAAACAGATTACAGAACATTTTAATAAAAAACAATTGAAATGCATATTTGAAAAACAGTGTAAATTAATATAAAATTGGCTCTCACAATGTTCAGTCTTGGTTTAGTCATATAGCATTTGTACATTAAGATCACATGCTCTCCCTCAAGCTTAGTATCCACATGGGCAACATTTCCTGCTCTCACCATGGCTACAGTTAATCTGAAAAGCCACACAGACACGTTATCTTATCACCATAACTGTCAGTTACAGAGGCATGTCATTTCATGTTCTTTAGTCTCATGCTTGATCTAACTGAAAAGGGCCAAGATGTTAGGAGACGATGCAGGAAGTGCAGTATAATATATTAGTGAGGATTCTAGATTTGATCACACAGCATTAGGTTTAAAAAAAACAATGCTATCCGGTTTATCCCAAAAACCATCTCTTTTTCCAGGTATTTACATCAAAGTGACTAATGTATTGGTTATAAACACCACGCCTGGAACAGCTTCCTCTTTTGTACAATCCATTCTTGGATATTTCAAAGATGAAACTAAATCCTCCTGTAATCCACCTTCCTCCAAATCTACACCTCCTCCTCTTGATTAAACTGAATTTTAGAGGGTGAGGATTGTAGCTTTCACAATACTTCTTCATCTGGCCAGGCGATTTCCGAGAAGTAGCTAAACTTAATGTTCTGTACACTGCATGTAATTAGGAAGAGCATTCTTCAACATGTGACTGTTAAGTGGTTGAAATATTTAGTGGCTAGCAGTATTGGCTGTGTTCAAAACACAAGGGCATTCATAATTTAGGCCACTCAAAAGACTCATTCATTCGATGATGTTGTGTCTTTTATAGGCTGCAGTGTTAAATGATGTTGGGCATACTGCGTAGCCACTGAAAACCAGGGTCACTTATTAAGACCTCTGGGAAATGGACCAGTCACATTGCAATTGCTCCTAAAATCCTGTTCCCTTGAAAACCGCTATACGTGGTCATAAAGTTGTCACAGTAAGTGGAATAAGTCAATACTTCCAAAAGGGAATGACTGTTTCACATTTGGTCAATGGATCAATTCCAATTTGAGTGCTTTCACTAAAGCTCTGTCTTCAGTCCATGTTCCAGTGGCAGCGCTGAGGAATAAGCCTTACCATTTGAGTGGGATTGATGACGGCAGTGCTCGAGCCAACATGCAGCTTTCAATTCCATCTGTGGGTTAGCTGCAGATGAGAGAGTGTATACATGGAGAGTGGAGCTGGGGATGTATCAATTCCAAATTGAAATTGTGATACGATTTGTCAACTGGGATTTGGGACGTCTTGATGGAAATAGACCTGTTGACCCCCCCCCTCATTCCTTTGGTAAAAGCAACAGCTCGACATTTTGAGAATTAATGAGGTTGATACCACTCTTTTATCAATCAGTGTTATATGAATCTGAGCTGGGAAATTGTTAGCTTAGCTTAGCATAAAACCTGAAATTAAGATAGCATGTATCTGTTCAAAGGTAAGACTTTCTGCCAACCAGGAGCTTCACAGTTCACTATTGAACTCCATCTTGTTTATTTAATCCGTACAAAAAACATTTTCAATTTCAAGCTGGTTGCGTGTGGGACTATTTCTTTGCTCGGAGTCTTATCTAACCCACTCCAGTAAGTCACTGTTCCCAACAAAGAATGAATCATGCTGCAGTTTCACCCTGTTTTAGACGTTATGATAATCTAAACTTGCTAATCTCCTATTTTGTGTAAAGATATAAGAGTGGTATTGATGGTCATCTCGTTCTGCAATTGAGCTCATTTTCCACACAGGCCCACACCAACAGAGCCCAATTATCACATTATCACGGGGCGATTTTGGCGCAGTGGGTTAGAGCATTGATCATCAGATCATCAGATCAAGGGGCGTTGGTGAACTCCAGTTCGAAACCCGCCTTGGCCGCCACCGCGTCAGGCCGTTGTGTCCTTGGGCAAGACACTTCACCCCGAATTTGCTCCTGTGGGTAATGTCCACAGTAATGACTCTTAGATGTTTAATATGTGTAATGTGTAATTGTAAAGCGCTTGGAACACCTGCAAAAGCGGTCTAATAAATGTGATGCATTATTAGTATTATTATTATTGCTATTGAGGTATACTGGTATATATATTGTGATTTATTTGTTATAAATAAGAATGAGCTCAGATGAAATGCTGTCCCTGTTGTTTTGGTTATTTGTATTAGTAGTAAGGTAAGGTTATTTCTGGTTATTGCCAAAGGTCGAGGTTACAAGGCTTTAAAGTTCATCCTCTCTCTGAACGACTTCCTCAGTTTGCTCCTGGTTGCAGGAACAGGACCGTAGCTGGGTCTGAGGAAGGCGTGTTCCCCGGCAGCCTCAGTGTGCTGGGGTTGGTGGTGTTGCTCCAGCTGCTGGAGAGGAGGCGGCTGTACGTCCAGGATGCCCAGTGGAGCGTGTTTCCGACTTTGGGCTCCAGCTCCTCCGGCGTTGCTGCGCTGGAGCTGCTGGATGATGGCAGAGAACTTGGCATCCAGAGATGGTCTCCCAGTTTTGGACCTTGTGGTCGGGCGTGAAGTGCCGGAGTTCTCCTTCTCCTGGTGTGAGGGAGGTGGAGCGTGATGGAGAGAGGGAGGCAGGGGAGGTCTGGCAGGGCGGCTGGCAGTAGCCGGAGGTTTCCTGTCAGAGGGGGGGGGCGGGGCCCGGCGCTTCTTGTTGGATGTTTGGATGGAGGTAGAGCTGGTGTTGGGGTTGGGGCTTGCACAAGGGCTGGAGGTTTTGCTCTGGGACAGAACACCCTTCTGCACCACCATTGAATTGGTGCCTTCGAACAGAGTGGACCAATTAGGCGCTTCCTTCTCCTCCTCAGGACCAATAAGAAAGCGGCCATCTGTCTGCTCTATCTTGTTGTGGATCATGTCTGTGATGCTCTCAAACTTTCCGGGTGAATATATACCTGCACGACAAACAAAATGAAAAAACAATTAAGTAACATCAGATAGGGCAATTGTTAAATTGATGTTTTCTTGTTCCTGTTTGATTAAAGAGCAGAGGGGAAATAATAACATTTGATAATTAACACAAACAATTGTATTTGCATGTAAAAGGGTTTTATTTACGTGCGTCACCGCTGAAATTAAAACTATTGGGCAAGGTTAATGGAACTTATTTATTCCACTCAGGAGTCCAATTTGTTTTGAGTACTTGCATCATATCTTCTTTAAATAGATACATACAAATCAAGTCATCAACCTTTGTCTAACTCACTTCACCCACTCGCCCCAATTACTCTACTCACTGAGGTCGTTGTAAACAGAGTCGGCCTGCTTGGTGAGGAAGAGTGATGGTTTCCGTGGTGACGTGACCTCGATCTTCATTAGCTGGTTGCAGCAGTGCAGCCACTGGCCTGGTTGTAAACAAAGAGAGGCATAAGAGACACAGATAAAGGTTGTATTATCTTTTCTTCTCCAAGTGGAGTTTAGCTAAATATAAGTGCAGCTACTTCTGTTCCACAAGCTGACTGACGTACACGGCACCATCTCACAAACAACACACACTCCTGCTCTGCACACACATGTAATGAATCAAAACTTTACTTTTATACATCCACGCATCTTTGCACAGAGAAACACACTCACTCTGGTCGTAGAGGTGCTGGTGCAGGGCGTCCAGCCAGTCTTCCAGCTCCTCTCTGGTTTCCGTGGTGAAGACGATGGTCTCAGAGCCCTCTGGTGAAGGGTTGATGATGGACAGGCTCCTGGACTTATGTCCTGATGACTCTTTTTCCATCACTCGGACTCGAGTGTCCTGCAGAAACATCACAGAAAGCATTGATAAGCTGAACATGAGTTCCACGGTGATCAAATAAGGATTATAATTTGAGATACTGCGAAACAAAGAACAGCGCTGAAATGGCAGAAAATACGTTATTCAGCAGCAAAATGCCAACGTTGCAAGCAGGATCTCTGTAAGTAGCGTGGCATTTTATATTTTGGTTGTTCTGCAAATGTTAGGGGAAACTCTGAATTGAGATTTAAATCAGTGTATGAATGTGGTGGAGGTATATTTGAATTCAAGCATCATCCTAACCCTGAAAATACCTTGTCTTACCTTGTTAACGGGTACTTTGAGAGAGGGCTGCAATTTAGCATCAATTTCTTCCAGGGTGAAGTAACAGGACAGAACCCCAGCACTGAGGACACAGTAGAGACTGCAGCAGTGGTACATCCCCTCCACACTTAGCTGAAAACAGCCAGAGAAACAAAACAGGGTATATTCAGGAATCCTGAAGTCAAATGTAATACCTTTTAAGACCTTTTTTAAGACCCTTTCCATTCATTTTAAGACCTCATCGTCACCGGTTACATTGGCGACACACTCTACCTCACATTGACTATATACAGTATTGATTGTCCTTCCTCCTTATCTTCCAACCATTTGGACGCAAACTTGCATTTCCCCATAACGATGTTGTTTAACAACCGGCGTAAACGGACCTTCGCGCGCTATCAAGCAGTGAGCGTGCGATGTCCTGTTCAGATGACGTCCAATCCAACGGGATGCCATAAATAAACTACACAGAATCACACTACACACCTACGCAATGATTACATTCAGGCACACTGTAGAATACAGCCTCTTTGGACAATTTATATACTTATTGAAAACAAGCTACAAAATGTAATACCTTGGAAAATGCCGTTTAATACTTTTTAATAGCCTTAACTTTTGCTAAATTGATTTATCAACTTTTAATACTTTTTAAGACCCTGCGGACACCCTGCTTAAAGAAATTGAAGTATTAACCCAGGAATTAGCTATCAAGCTAACAAGTAAATATACCTTCTGGTTTAGGTAGCCGCTCCTCATGCTCTGTGTCATGCAGGAAGGCTGGGCCACCACCCGGCAGCAGAGGTTGCCATAAAGTGGAAGCCATGACGACGACTCGTCTGTGGGAATGCCAAGCAGCGTAGGTACAATCGATGTTAATCCTAATAAAATACTATATGTATTTTGTAAAGAACAAAAGGTAGAATAGTTCAAATCTTGAGTGAAAATGTAAAACCACATGATTCAATTACTTTTAGCGTTAATTGTGAAACAGATGAAAGGCTGACGTGTTTTCCTGTCACATCATTTCTTGTTATAAGAGCATTTATTATACCCTATGAAATACACAGTGGATCTGAAAACCATATCATATCAAAGGTTTACCCCTGAAATTACAGCTAAATAATTCAAACCTGCCTCTGCACCAACTTATCCACTTCATCACTCACGCAACGGAAGAAAAGTAATCCAACGTGAACCCCAATAATAGGTTATTTGTTTAATTTTTGTTTTGCATTTTAATGGTGTTGAATTATTGTATTACTGCTTCCGAAATGATTCAAATCAGGGACTTAAAAGCGGAATCCCTTTATAACCCCAGATATTAAATGTTTGTGCGTTTGCTTCTTACCGCCTTGGAGGACGATGAGGGAGTGCGACTGGAAGCTGCCTTCAGCGTCAGGCAGACACAGCGTGGTGTAGGCCAGCAGGCTGTACTTGGCTCCACTGGTAAACATACAAACATATATACAGAGTTCAGTATTATTGACATATTCTGCCTCCAGCATTTTGATCTTAAGAATGATCTCCTTCTTCAAAGCCCCTCACAGTCCCAATGTTTCCCCTCCCACTGAACAGGTGGTGTGCATCACTTACAGATGTTCAGTTTGGGAGATTCCCTTGATTATATAAAACCTGCAAAGCATGCTTTTCCTCGCAGATATTCCAATAACATTGTTGAAATTGGCACAAAAAAAGTCAGTTAAAGGCTAACGTAATTGTATTCATAACCCAAATACGTGTTGTGATTTGTCAATAAACCAGATGGTGAGCCTGCAGCTACACCTTTTGTTCCAGTAACATGTTGTTTTTGAGTTTGTTCCCAACTAGAACAATCTTAAAAAGGAAGCCAAGAGTCTGTAAAAGGTTTTATGGGATAGCACAGTACATACGGGGGAATGGGGTTGTACTGCAGGAAGGTGTCAGGGTCGGGGCTGTCCAGCAGAGGGCAGAGCTTCTTCCCAGCTGTCTTTCCAAAGGAGTTGCGGAGCTTCTTGGCCAGTTTCTTTGGCGTATTCACCATGGTGAGCTCATCCTCCAGGGCACAGCTCCACAACTCCACCTTCAGCTCAAACTGAGGATCTGCATCTTTACTGTGAGAGAGGACAGAGACATTTCAAATAATATAACTAACATTAAAATGTAAGGCAAGGCAAGGCAAGGCAAGTTTATTTATATAGCACCTTTCAACACAAGGCAATTCAAAGTGCTTTACAAAAATGGAAGACATTATGAAAATGGCATTTAAAATCAGTCATTAAAAAGAAAAGATAATAAAATAAACATTAAAAGAAAAAATACATGGATAAAAGTTAAAAGTTACAGTGCAGTTTAAGATGTGAATAGTTCAATTAAAAGCAGCGGCAAAAAGAAAAGTCTTCAGCCTGGATTTAAAAGTAGTAAGAGTTGCAGCGGACCTGCAGGTTTCTGGGAGTTTGTTCCAGATATTTGGAGCATAATAACTGAATGCTGCTTTATTTATGTAGATAAACCATGTTAATTTTTAGGATGAAAAACAAACCTAAAACCATCACTCAAGACTCATAAATAATACATGTTATTGCCCAGTAATTGTAGCCAGTTTTATCCCTGCAACAGATGTGTTTGTAGCAAGAAAAAACTCAAACATATTTTGAAATTCAAGAACAAACTAGCAGCCACATGTCCTGAATATAACCCTAAAATACAATGTCTTCCTCCAGCATTGTAAAGCAGCGCGTAAAGGGAGTTTCCAAAAGTAAGTACAGCTGAACAAGGTGTATTAATACTGTGTTTTGAATATGTAAAGTAAGAACTCACAAGACAGTGACTCCCTCAAAGCAGATGTCAGTGACTGATCTGTCCACCACTATCATTTCTGTGGCAAACACCTCTGAGCCCATCTGCATCAGACAGAACAACGCCACTCGACGGGAGCCTGATAAACAGAAGGGATGTATGTGTGTGTTAGTGCAGCAAGTATCCACAGATTAACACGAGGCAAAGGCTTAACAGAACAGGGGGATTGGATGTTGGCAAAACAAAGACAAACGTACTCCCTCTGTTGTTAAAGTAGGCTGAATCCCTCCACATCAAAGGAAGGCGCAGCCCTGAATCAGCAGAGGATAAAAGTGAATAAACGAAGCATGTCGTTTTAAAGTTAATTTGTTCTATATACATTTTTTGGGAATTTGTTCTGCACACAGACTCTACCGATTTAAATGATCTTGCACAAAGGGGAGCAATCTTACCAGACATTGCAATTGTCCCATTGCAGGGCACACGGTCATCTGAAACTGGATCTGAAAATCTGGGGGAGAAAACAAAATGTACCATTATAATTTATCACAACATAAGTCAATAGATGAGAGTATCAGGCTAACGGCTCGCTGCACCCGCACTGCGAGGGGCACCCAAGTTCCCATCAGCAAAAACACGTCGGTTTGCTATCCTGGCTCCAAAATGGTGGAATGAGCTCCCCATTGACATCAGGACAGCAGAAAGCTTACACGTCTTCCGGCGCAGACTAAACACTCATCTCTCTCGACTCCACTTCGAGCAATAAAATGACTAACAAAGCACTTGTATACTAACAAAGGACTGGCTTATCTAAAGCCAGTTGAGTAGCACTTGAAATGTTTTGGCTCTATGAAACCTGATGTACTTACATGATTCTGTCTTCTTCAAGTTTGTATCTTCTTGGTCGAATGCACTTATTGTAAGTCGCTTTGGATAAAAGCGTCAGCTAAATGCAATGTAATGTTATGTAACACATGCGTCACTTCCGGGCAAAAAGTACGGCTCCGCCCACTTTTGGGGGAAAACAAAGCTGTCATTTGAATGGCGGTCAATGTAAATTCTGAAATTTTCTTAAATGTCTGATCGGATTGGCACAAACTTGAGAATTTGTATTGACCGCCATTCAAATGACAGCGTTGTTTTCCCCCAAAAGTGGGCGGGTACTCTCATCTATACATTAAATTTGACGCAAATAACAAACAATCAGCACTTGAATTTTAAAACCCTCTTTTCCGAACCGACTTGTGCCTTACTTAAGTCCTTGCTTGTATTTTTCACTAATTTCCCACTGATTTTATTTCTCCATTGAAGTAGAGATTTCTAAATATATTACAATCCAATCTATGTGTTTATTTTTTTATAGTGTATGCTGAAACTGAATTCCAGGGATTGCAACTTAAAAACTTGAATTGAATCTTTATACTTGTGGAAACAGTAATCCCCCAATTCCCTACCTCATGGCTCCCCCCATGTCCTGCTCCCCTTTCTTCCTCTGCAGCTGTGAGACATAAGCCTTGATCCTGGCGTTACAGGTCAGCAGGTTCTTGGAGGCGTTGAGAACCTGTTCTCTCTTACTGCAGGCGAGCAGCAGCTTGTAGGCTCCCTCCCGCATTCGCATCTCAAAGTCAAGCTTTTCTTGGATGTTGGTGTTCTTCTTGGACAAAACAAATAGAGGAGAAAGTTCAATCAAGGATCCATCAAACAACATCAGAGACAGACGACATGAGTTAGAGAAAAGAAGCCCTTGAATGTTGTTTGGCAAGAAAAAAACATCCCTTCAAGTGTCAAAGGTGTTATATAACTCACAGTAATGCGCAAACATGTCATATACACAAACAAGAACTCGTAAAGACTGCAACCTCTTTCAGGTTATACGGTGCACGTAACCTTGTGAGAGGAGTTGTCCTGTTGGCAAAGACGGCACAGTGATTTGCGTGTCTTACTGGCACAATCAGAGCTAAAGCTTTCAGAGTTCATTGTGAAAGACAGATATACGAGAACTAAATAATACAAAGCTTTCAGGGAATGTGATCTTCTAACGTTGCTTGAAGCAATCCCTACAATCCATTTTACAATGATACACTGATATATAAAGCTGTCAAACTTGTGGCAGTGAAGCCAACATCTTTTCATCACTCGAAGAGCAACTATTTCTGGCAGACTATAAGGTTAAATGATGCATGTAGAAGGGAAGAGGAGTGGTTAGTTTCATGATATGCTAGATAGAGGGAGACACTAACAATGAGTATGTGAATTGATGTGGATCATATGCACTTAGGATGGCAATGATGCTGAATGGAAATATATGAATGGCATGTTACAAGGAAAGAGTGGCAGGAAAATATATTAATTTAGTTAAACTAGGTGTACACTTACTAAATGGAGTATGATGATGTTTGTTTTTTTATAATCTGGTCTACATTATTCTTATTTCAAAATACCATCTTTATCATTTGGTAAGGTAATTCGGTCTTGATGGGTTTTAAAATAATCAAGTTCCGATGCACGTTTTTAAGGATGCAAACACCATCATTCTCCATAGGACATCTAAAATATGCACCTGTAGCTTCTTAGTAATCAACAACAAATTAACATCCTCTACTATGTGCTGAGGGTCATTTAGAAGACTTGGGTTTAGTCTTGTAGTGCCGAGAGAAGGGAGACGGAGGCGGTGTATCAGAGTTGCAAATCTCTCTTTATTGGAGAGCAGAAATCGACGTGCTGTCGGGTTGCAGGAAAGAGGAGAAGAGAAAGTGAAAGAGGAGGACACACAGTAGGTACCCCGGAGGTACCGTCAACATATGTGTCCGGGCGGAAACAATACCCCCAACCTGTAGTTCCATGATTGGATTATGTAACCCCAGTGTATGCATCAGTGATCACTACACAAGCCCCCCCAGAATTCAACCATGGACACAATCCTCGCGTCGGGAGGAAGCACCACAGGGGCCGAGGAGGGCGGGCCATGGAACGGGCCGTCGGAAGGGGGCCGCAGGAGAGGGTAGGGGCCCCAACGAAGGCGAGGGCATCCCCACCGGAGGGCGGGTGGCGGGCCGGAACGGGCCGTCGTCAGGGGGCCGCAGAAAGCAGGGTCGCGTCGTGGGGACAGGCGTGAAACACCCGGAGGTCCCCAGCAGGGAGGCGCGCTGCCCGGCCGCAGGCGAAGGCACAGCGGCGGCGGGCACGAAGTCCTCGGGAGGAAGGAGCCGTGTCCCCGGGAGGAAGGAGCCGTGGACAGGGGAGAGGCCAGATGGGGCGCCGTCGAGGCGAACCGTGAGCCGCGGTTAGAGGTGAGGCCAGGCAGGGTCCCGAAGCGCGCCACCCACAGGCCGATGAAGGCATGGGCGACGTCCGGAACCGCCGAGGCGAGGGAAGAGGCGAGACGGGGTCCAGAAGCGCGCCACCCACGGGCCGAAGAAGGCGTGTGTGACGTCCGAAACCGCCGTCGAGGTGGTGAAACAGCGAGAGGGTCCACACGAGGCCGACCAGACATGGTCGAACCTCCTCTCAGACACCAGAAAAAAAACTCAAAAGGTCGTCCTGTCCACGATCAAAAACAGGTGGGCGAAATTGTGAGAGGATCCACACGAGGCCGACTAGACGTGATCGAACCTCCTCTCCGGCACCACAAAAAACAAAATAAAAAACCAGTCGGACGTCGATAGCTGTCGTTAGCCGTCGAGGCCAGCCGATCTCGACGGCCGGTAGTCGCTGTCGTCGTCGTCCCCGGAGCCCCTGCTAGGCGGCGTGCCCTCACCAGGGAAGGTGCTGCAGCGAGCAGTGGCAAGCACCTCGGGGGAAAATCGCGGGGCGGCCAGGAGGAACCGGCAAGCTTCTTCGGCCAAAGCGTGGGGCTCAACACTAGCCGTGTTAGCTAGCGCAGCCTGGACATGCAGCAGCATGTCCCGAAGAAACAGCACCACGAGGTAGAAGTCGGGTTCCTCCATACCTAGCAGGTCGTGCATCGTCTCCCCGTAGCAGGAAGGCTTGCTGCCCTCCAGCGCCGAGACGAAACGGGAATGGCGAGCGACGTCCTCCGCCATCCCGCTGGGCCGCACCGAGCCTCAGTCCGTGCGCACGAGGCAGCAACGGACGTCTCCAAGAATCTCCGGCATTCCGAGAAAAGCTGCGCTTTCTGCCGTGTTCAATTTAGTCTCGGATCCTTCGCGAGACATCACGTCAGGGTCACCAATGTAGTGCCGAGAGAAGGGAGACGGAGGCGGTGTATCAGAGTTGCAAATCTCTCTTTATTGGAGAGCAGAAATCGACGTGCTGTCGGGTTGCAGGAAAGAAGAGAAAGTGAAAGAGGAGGACACACAGTAGGTACCCCGGAGGTACCGTCAACATATGTGTCCGGGCGGAAACAATACCCCCAACCTGTAGTTCCATGATTGGATTATGTAACCCCAGTGTATGCATCAGTGATCACTACAGTCTCATGCTTTTGGTCTGAAATGACATTAGTTTGAGCTGTGTTAGAGCAAAGAGAAGAGCACCTTTTGTGCACAACATTAGACAATGCAGAGAGCACATGGCTCTGGTTTCAGGGAACAGAAAACGTTAAAAGGGGAGGCTCCCCTGTGAGACAATGATGACTGCTGGCCCGTCAAACCAGCTTTGTCCCAGGGAACTGAAACAGTGGGCGATGGTGACATTTTGGGATGCTTTTCCAGTACTGGTTAACTTATAATGAGCAAAACATTCCGGTTTTAACATATGATACAAAATGTGGCTATCAATTTGAAAACAACAGAACATAATTTGGGATTAATAATTTGATTATTTTTATCAAAAATATTTCACACACAAATGACGCTTTCTCAAGATTTCCCCAGTCATTCACTAAATGACGTGCAATGATATACAAAATATAACTATAATGTTTGTTTTTTGTTTTTGTTTTCTGAGTTCTGTTCATTGTGCACTCAGTTTTGAATTAATGTATGCCTTTTTCTGATTTTTTGGATTAATTGCTCAATAAAGTTGGGTAAAAAAAATTGTGTGTAATAGTGTGTATGCTTGAGGAAAACGATAGAACATTCAAGTCGTTTTTTTAAGTTATTTAAGCACAGCCAACCAAAAAGCTAGTTAGTTATTACTGAAGCAGTCTAAGCAAAAATGACCCGTATATATTAACCTGTTAACATAAGTTAGTTAGTTTTGGTGCACTTTGGACCCCCTGTAACCGAAATGTCACTTTGATTCAGTGTTGACGGCTTAACAAAAAATGCCACTCTGTAAACGTTATCCCTTCGCCCCTACATACCTCAGTTTGCAGGAATAATGTACTCTGTCGTATTTTCTTCCGTTTAATCTCCATAGCCACAGCGGAACCGGCTGATAAAACCGACCTGGAGCTACCGTTTCGTTTGGAGGTTTGAACATCCCGCTGGTCGTCCATGTTTCCGTCCGTTCGCTAGCAACAGTAGCATGAGCGCATTCCTGCTCCAACTGCCGACGCCCCTCCAACAGACAGGGGAGCTCGATTTGTTACACGTCTTCTCCCGCTATGAGGACATTATCAGATAAATACACAAGTAAGTGCTGCAAAGGTTACATTTATATACACTGATTACAAGTAATTAAACTATTTTGGTGAGTTTAAATGTAATTAACGGATTAAGTGATGCATTACCCATGATGTTTAAACTAAAATGACGTTAACTTCTAATAAGTTCACAACAGTTCATAAAAAAGAGACCCAAATGTCAATGCAGAATTTAATGTAATCGTGGTGGTAAAAAACACGGAAATAGCAAAAAGTGCAACATGTTATAAAATTGCACAGCTCAGATTAATTACGAAAATAAGTAGAAAACAACGCTCCATCTTTCCAACCGGCACGTCCGAGGACTTAAATCGAGTGCACTCACGTCGACAGGGAGCCAACGTTATTACGTCACTGCGCCAGACGAATGACAGGAATACAACGTTTTCGATTTTGAATTGTTTAGGATGTTAAAAAAAGCAGAACTAATTTAAATGTAAATGTGCAATACATCTTCGGGATCATAACAAACGTGTTATTCTTAGTTTCATGGTACTGGTTTTCCTAAGTATGCTGCCTGTAGTTAACGTTACATGCAAAGAAAAAAATACACCTGCACATCTTTTCATTAAGCCGTCTCTCTTCAGATGTCATTGGGTTTCATTATGTATTTGCATAACATATTTAAAAACAGTAACATAGAATATGATTTGTAATAGTGATATAAAAATCCATGAAAATAAGTATTGAAGGGGTGGCTTTTATGTTCTTGTTTTGCAACATCCTAATTTTGCTTAATAGTTTCTGTAGTTGTTTGGTTCCAGGCAGGGTGTCTTCGTCCATTTACGCTGTGCATCATGCATCAGGCACTGCCTATAATAATATAATATTGCCAGCTGCGCAGCCCAGCTGATGGTACGGTAAAATGAAGACCCTGAAACGTGACCCGGGAGTCCAGGAAACCCGCCCACCCGGTTCTGGCTGCCATGCTTCTGGTCGAGTTGGAAGCATCCATGGTTGGAAGTGTAGACGCAGGCGCTTCCAGGATGAACTGAGTCAAGCTTGCCCTGCTAGCCAGAAACATAAACACAAATCCCGGAAATGCGAAAATTGCTTTCAAAATAAACTGCTTGCTTGGTTAAAAACGAGACAAGATGCATATTGAATCGCCATATCCGGTCTTTGCACAGTGATGCAGACTACTTTGACATATATGGACATTGTCTTAGCCTAAAGCTTTAGTCTGCAGCTTGTATTAATTGTTTATAATGTATCATGATAGGAAGTATTGCAGCTGAAGCTCACACTAACTAGGCAGATTTCCCTTTTAATATTGTATTAGAACAAATGCATTCAGGTTGACAACAATTTATGTTTTACTTCAGCTACATTACCAAAATATTTTCTTAGGGGTTCCTGGTAACATTAACACACTTTGTACATTATTGCATTTATGGCAAAATATGTCTATTGATTTTAAATTATCTTTTTTCCTTTTAGAATAAAGTTTGCATTTTTTTTTATTGCACGTAATGTAGAACATTGTCTGTTTATACAGACAGAATGTGAAATGTATATACTTCCATGTAATAAACACCATCATTATCATGGCAGTTTGGTCACACAAATTTTGGGAAGTTGAACCACATTTTTGCTAAATCACATGATAAATTGTGCATATGGTTGCATATGCAAAGGGGTCCTTTCAGTCTCAATATAAATGAATGCACATCGTTTAAATTAAATATTTTTTGTTTTAAATATATGTAATAGAAATCCAAAAACTAGTACAACCAACGGGTGACGAGTCGGCCTTCATAGAATATAATGATAGCAATCATAGTTTTCCTACAATATATCAAATGCAAGAAAAAGTGATCACATATTTGTGTGAGGTATGGGTCCCATCTTTCCCAGAAGGCATCACCTTTGTCTTTTTCCAGTCTTAAACTGAACGTCATACGTTCCAAACATTGAACTTTTTTAATTATGACTACCCATTGGCAGAGGTGGGAACTAAGTACATAAAGTCAAGTACTGTAGCTACTCACTTCAATTTTGAAATACTTATACAGTACTTTAATTGAGTATTTCCATGTTATGCTACTTTGTACTTCTACTCCACTACAATTCAGAGGTAAATGGTGTACTTTTACTCCACTGCATGTACCTTACTACTTGAGTAACATTTTGAATACAGGACTTTTACTTATAACAGAGTATTACACTCTGGTACTTCTACGTTTACTCAAGTACAAGATCTGAGTACTTCTTCCACCTCTGCCCATTGGTCTATAGTGTGAGGCTCTTTACAAAGTCATCGCTTTGTTATGGCCTTTTTACTCGCTTTCATTAGGATTTAAAAAATATATTGGTCATTTTTGGGTAATTCAGAGTTCATATTCTCCATGTAAAAGGAAAGACAGGTGACATTTACACCATCACTTACAACCTACAGCATGAACCTTGTGATCCTATCTGTTTTGACGTTTGCTTTGGTGTTATACAACGTCTAAGTTCCTCCACAGTTGTGAGGCTGTGGTAGTAATTTGTGTTTTGATTATAACCCTGTCCATTCCTACTTTTTTATTTATTTTGAAAGGTTTTACCGGAAGTGATTGGCACCTCCGCCGCTTTGACGCGTCTTTCAGGATGTTGCTCCGCTCGCCGCTTCTTCGCAGGGAGAAGCGTATCGCTGAGCAACGGAGGGAGATAAGGCCGACGCACAGAGCCAGACGAGCTGCAGCAGCAGGGCTGGGCTCCTCTCACTCACACACACACGCACACACACACCTTCAACTGAAACACACAGCCGAAAGGAAAAGGGTAAGTGAGCTGTTGACTTCACTTTTATTTATCGAACAGTAGCTAACGGTGGGCTTTAAGCTAGGTGGTCGACCGTTATAAGTTGGAGAAAAAAAACAGAAAGAGTAGGTGTTCTGCTTTTGTGCTGTCCCGTCTATTGATGTCCATTTGGGGTTTTCCATGTTAATACACAATAACTGAAGCAGATGTTGGAGCTTATTAAAATTAAAACAATAAACATAGATTCAGTTTGAATGTCTGCAATGTAATAAACAGTTAGGGCATTACTCGTTTATAGCGGATAAACACACTGGTCTGACTCCCTGTTGGCTAACTGGATGGCTACTGTTGTCGGCAGCAGCAGCATGACCAGTCTGCCCTGCTCCGCCTTTGTAAAAAAAACACACAGCCTCGCCACTTTTCCGCCTTTATAAAAACACCGGGCAGGCACGTTTGCCGTCTATGCTACTGTGAGACGGTATTGAGTTGTTGTTTTTCTATTAGTGGCATCCTTCTATAAAAAGCACGGAGGCTACCGAGACAGGATGCACATCAATGAAGGTCGGTTACAGTGAACGCTTTGTGGATACGTATTAACTGCGGGCTGCTCTTTGAGGCTATTAATGTTGTCTGGAGGGTTTATTATACAAGTAAGAAGGTGTTTCACAATTGTAATGTAGCTGCAGAGTGTTCTTCGATGCGGGACCCCCCTCCTCTTCTTCTGTGAGGGGGCTTTGTTTTCGTGGGGCAGATGTAGCCGGCCTGCATGCATCCGCTTCCTTTGTGTTGAGTTTGATTTAGCTGTCATCCTCACACAAGATGTACAAACTTGGGGGAAAAGCTAAAAGATGTGCTTCATATCTGAATGACAGTTTCTTCAATTACACATTCTAAAATAACAGTACGAAGTGTTTTTTGTGCCTTTTACAGACAATTGTATGCACATCTTAATTGAGTTATTATTGACTTATCATCAGGCTTAACATACTTTTAAATGCATGGTAATGTCTGCTAAAATGCTTGAAGAGGCATGACAAATAACAAAGTTACACAGCTGTTCAAAGCATTTGAAAGCGTTTTATTCTTCATTATTTCTCTTTATTGCATCTACAAATGTTAAAGGTACTAGAAATGTGCACTCCAAGTCTGGGTTTTTGAAACAATTACACTATGGGCTGCATGTCAGTGAGTCTTGTCTCCTCCTCCTTCAGCTGTACGAATTCAAATGTTTTGGGTTTGAGCCATAGAATGTGCAGATAATACCAACCAGTCCAGCGCCGCTCCATTTATTTTCTCCCATTCACTCTGCCATTTTCCGCCTCCTTCCTGTCCTCTTCTCCCGCAGATGTGGACGCTGGCATGCTGGTTGGCTCCACAGGCGGTTGCATTTTTAAAAACTGTTTCAGTGTCACAGGACGGTTGCTGCACTCTGTCCTAGCTAGACTGCAGCAACGTCCTAGCTAGACTGCAGCACAGCCTGCCTCCATACATGTCCCTTTACACAGCTACAGTGCAGATAACATTGACAACCATGCTAATACAGTAGCTCATACTTTGACTATGACCTTTGAGTAGACAAAATAAGTTCAATTCCACTTTTAATCCTTTAAATCCTTTTCCAGAATCACCCTACTTTAAGTGTTTCCTGTTCAGTATCATGATTCTGTGCCAATGTGCAATGACGTTAACATGCATAGTTAATGTTTCCTTCAATAATATGATCCTTTTTTCATTTCTAGCCTTTAGTTGGGTTTGAGGAGAGTGTTGTTTGTCCTGCCCACGGCCATTGTGTATAGTAGGAAGTTTAGGAAGTGAGTTCATTTTACTTCAGGGTTCAGGGAGTGCTACATGTATTTGTGACTGAAACAACCTCGCCTGGAACTTAATTCTATCATCTAATCCATTCTGTTTAACTTGTTTTAAACCGTTTTTTGTTCCAGGGTTACTGTGGCTAAAAATAGCAGTGAATCTCACTTCTGTACTCTGCCAAAGGATAAACTTTAAAAGGGTTATGGGAGTCAAATAGATTTGCCTGGTGAAGCTCCGGCTTGTGTCACAGAGAGAAACAAGGGAGGGGAACAGACGGAGAGAGAATAGCAGAAAACAAGAAAAACGCATGAAGTAATTGATATAATAATCATCAGCCTCCACCCTTGTTATGGAACATGATGGGTGTGTCTGCTTTTTTTCCTGCATTCAGTTAATTTCTAAAAATGAAAAGTAAAATAGAGTGACCTTCACAGCTGGTTTGGGGTGTACCATACTCCCCTCTGATCCCCTTCTGGTATTTTGTGCTTCTTTCCACTGCAGATATTGATCTTGTATTTGGGCTGTTTCCATTCACATCTCTCCTTCTGAATGTCCTGTTATGCTAGCGTTGATATTTTTATTTCCTCCTAAGTGCCAGTGTGGGTTTCACTATTTGTGTCTACTGCTCCAGCTATTGCTATGGGCAATACATTCTGTTGTCATAATCATTGTGGCAGGGTTGGCCAAATACTAATGTTCCCGTTAAAGAGCCATGGGTCAGTCATTATCTGCTCAGCAGGGGCCAAGCACTCAGCAGAGCAGACCTGCACTATACCTGACACACTGTGTGCTTTGGCTCCTATTGGTGCATTATACAGTGATTTATTCATTTATATCAGAATGATTAAAGACAGAATGATGCACAAGTTGAACTTTAATACCTTTTTGTTTGCCGATATAGAGTTTAGTGTGTTTAATCACCATATATATCACATTAGTTATTATTGAACTAATGTAAGTTGAATATTTTATACACTATTGCAATATTTTCAACAATTGTTTCATCTATAAAATGTCAGAACATTTGCAGAAACAGTCCACAGATAACCAAAATGCACGATAGAAAGCCGAGAATAGTAGCAGATCTTCATAAATATTTCCATTTGTATTTCTTTATTTAACCTTTATTTCTTACAGGTCACCTCATTGAGACACAACGTCTCATTCTCAAGGGAAATCGGGTCAAAATTGTACTTAATTCATATTAATTAACTAATAATATCACTTTAATTGCACTAACATTTTAGTTAAATAAAGCTTCCATTCATATAGGACATCTTTTCATTTGCTCTCATGCCCTTGAGAACACTTTTCTGAAAAATACTGCACACGCTTTGTGGAATGAATTACACGCGCTAAAAAGGCTGCAGAAAAGGCTGCAGGGCATGTGCTTCATTAATTCTCTTGGATTATTAATAATCTGTTTTTTTATTATCTCTTTATCAGTACATGCTTGTTCGCAGGGCTGGTTTCCCCCCCTTCAAATCCTCAACTACTTTCTCAGATAACGCTGAAGGGTGTGATATGTTTTAAACTGCATGCCGTACAGTAATATCTGTGAAATGTCTATATGTAGGTCTGTAGGTCATGTGGGACATGGGGGACATGGGGGACATGGGGGTCACTGAGCATGTGGTGGGGTTCGGTCTTACAGCCAGGCGTGTGCTGGGTTGTTTATGGTAATAACAATGAAGCAGGCTGGAGGGATGCTGGCTAAATGGAGGTGTTTGCTTGTTTGTTCCTATCGCCAACTGATCATGTGATCAGGCGGCTGCTTTTCGGCAACCATATGGTCTTTTCTGCTGCATGGGTTTTTTTCTTCACCCACATGGTGCGTGTAAAAGCCACATTAACACACATAAAGCCACACATACACATGCGCAGTCAAGTTTCTGCAGATTTCACGGGCTACACTGACACCATATTGATTTATTATCTTCCCACATGGTGCTGCCGTTAAGAGATACATGCTGCTCTTCAGTCTTGAGCTGTATACACTCATATACATGTAATTCATTTGACCCTATACGCTAATAGCAGTACTTACAAAACCAGTGGGGAAATCATGACCCTCTTTTGTTAAATGTTCTTAATTATCGTTTGATTTATATATGATGTTGTTGTTGTTGGATATGCATGTTGTCTAACAGAAGAAGTAGGCCAAATTATGAAAATTATTGCTTTGTTTGTTTGTGTGTATTTGTGTCAAATTGTTCCTCAATCATGCTGAAACCCAAACATACAGACATGCTTATCGTGAATGTTAGCCTCCAGTTGGAATTCAGTTTTCCTCAAAGGAGGTCCCTTGAACAGAAAACACTGAGTGACTGTTTTGCACTTTGCTGGCTGTTCTTCATTTATGAAGAGAGGTAAAGTAGGCCAACTTGATTCAAATGTCAAATGGAATCAAAGGCTTAAAGTCTGAAGCAGCCATGGTTTGCTCCTTTGTGCTCTCTCAATTTTAGACCATAAACATTTATTATTCAACTGCCCAAACCAAACTTTTGTGAGTGACAGGCCCACGAGCGTTATTTACTCTTCATTCAAAGTGCCATGTGACTTTAAAATCTCATAGTGCATACACAAAGCATTCCTAATGGACTTCATAACAGTAGTAAGCGGAGCAAATGAACTCCATGAAACTATAATGCCCACCGGTGGATGAAAAATAAACGGAAAGAAATGTGATCGTAAAACATTAAACTCTGTAACAAAACATAGCTCATATAAAAGTTGTTTTATTCAGCTTGTAATAAGGGTTTGTCTTTATCCGAATTCATAGAAAAATCATGTTCTCAATTTTTTTCTGCTTTTTTTAGAGCAACAACGCCTTCTCTATTGTACACTTTCATGTCTGCAAACTGCATTGGGATCAGTCATTGGGGACTGAAAGCCTTTTGTCTGTCTGTCTGTTTGTCCAGAGGTTGCTCAACTCTCTCCTCTTGAATCTGGTTTGTTCTTTGTCTTACTCCCCTCAGGGTCTGAAGGCTTCTCTTCTCCCAAAAGCCCTCTAGGTTTGCAGGACTGGTAGAGTCTCCCTTGTCTATTACTTATTGAGTTACTGACCCTACATCAGCATTTTCAAAGCAATGGGTTGCTGCTTTTCTATTTCTCCTGACCTTCAGTGTACTCTCCTTTTATTGGTTTGACTTATACCTCCGAGGTACTGTCTAGCACCACATACCCTCTTATGTCTTTGTTTCCATTGCTGCAAAGCTGCTACAATATTTATTACATTTCATTTCTCACATAGAGTGTTAATGTGTTGTCAATTTGGCCCCATCTTTGGTACTTGGACTTCTTTGCTAGTATGTTTTTATGCTACTCTTCCAAGAAATCCCTCTGCAATGCCAATGAGTCAGTATCATGATTTTCACCTCGGATTCTTTCATCAATAGAGTTAATTTAATTTGCTCTTTTCTTGTTCAGCCAAGGGGGTTTTCACTGCTCTATATCCTGTAACAACTCAAAGCTATTTCTATCAGAACAGAGTGTTTGTTGCTGTTGTCAACAATAATGCATCACCTCCTACCTGCAGCAGACTTTAGCGAAACAAATGTTTTTCAATTACATTTACTTCCATTTGACCATCTGGTACGTTTTACTGTAGCTACAATGAGATAAAGCGCCATTTTTACAACGTAGGCAGGCAACCACACCCTGACTAGGGCTAAGTTTGGCTCTCTTCATAAGACCACATGGAAATGTGTGTGACGGGAATATGAGTTGTCCGTCTGTCTCTTCCTTCCTGGTTCTTTCTCTCCTTCTGTCTTTCTCTCTTTTTGGTTTGCTAAGCGTGTGTGTGTGTGTGTGTGTGTGTGTGTGTGTGTGTGTGTGTGTGTGTGTGTGTGTGTGGTGTGTGTGTGTGTGTGTGGTGTGTGTGTGTGTGTGTGTGTGTGTGTGTTGTGTGTGTGTGTGTGTGTGTGTGTGTGTGTGTGTGGTGTGTGTGTGTGTGTGTTGTGTGTGTGTGTGTGTGTGTGTGTGTGTGTGTGTGTGTGTGTGTGTGTGTGTGTGTGTGTGTGTGTGTGTGTGTGTGTGTGTGTGTGTGTGTGTGTGTGTGTGTGTGTGTGTGTGTGTGTGTGTGTGTGTGTGTGTGTGTGTGTGTGTGTGGAGGCTACACGCAGCAGCTGTCAGATTGTGTGTGTGATGCGGTCTAAGTCAGCTATCATGTCGTGGTGATGTGAGGTTAGGCTGATGAGTAATGCTGTTGCATCATTCTGGAGCCAGATGTGGAGAGCAGCATCCATGTGGTGGAGCAAAGAAACATATTTGGTGATGACTGATAACAAACTGGCACTTTTTGACACCACTTCCTGTCCGCTTAAAAATGGTTTCTGTGATTGGCTAGTTAAGAGTGGAGTGAAGACAGGAGACTGCTAATATAGCATTGTGTTGCAGACTGGAAACATGGGCTGTAAGAGCGATTAGTCACAGCTAATACATCTCATTATCCAGCACTGCTTTATAATCACCCCGCTTATTTTTTATGTCTGACCATTTTATTATATGATGAGTGAATAATAATATCAGTGCTCATACTCATTTGATTCAAAATGCGCCTTGTGTTTTAAGATGATTTTCCTCATGACAATATAATTCAATTTCTTCCAGCTGTGAGTTTCATTCAAGTCATAAAATCCACATCAGAGCACATCTACTGTGGATTCAAAGATGAGTGAGCTCTGTCCACTACAGGAAATGCAGTGCATACTTCCTGTCTCTTCGCTGCCCTCTCCTCCATACAAAGAGTTCACAGTCAACTTGAAATAATCCCGCCCTTTCACTCCTTAATTCAGTGTGTGTGTGTGTGTGTGTGTGTGTGTGTGTGTGTGTGTGTGTGTGTGTGTGTGTGTGGTGTGTGTTGTGTGTGTGTGTGTGTGTGTGTGTGTGTGTGTGTGTGTGTGTGGTGTGTGTGTGTGTGTGTGTGTGTGTGTGTGTGTGTGTGTGTGTGTGTGTGTGTGTGTGTGTGTGTGTGTGTGTGTGTGTGTGGTGTGTGTGTGTGTGTGTGTGTGTGTGTGTGGTGTGTGTGTGTGTGTGTGTGTTGTGTGTGTGTGTGTGTGTGTGTGTGTGTTGTGGTGTGTGTGTGTCTTGTCGGCGGAAGTCCTGTCAAAACCATTAGGTCACTATTCTTCCTTATTAGCCCCAGCATGAATGTTGCTGAAAGAGTGAATGCAGATGAGACTGAACCACGAGATTGTTTGTTTTTGCCAATATCCCAACATTAACATTATATATATTTAGAAGCAGACATTTTTTGTTTTGCTTTAAAAATGCTAACATGTGTTAACTTGGTTGGTGTGTCATTGCAAGTTGTAAGAAGAAGCAAGTGATGTCTGACGCTATATTGGAATTTGTCATGTTCTGAGAATTGAGGAACTCATTGTTTTTCATACTTTTTCAAAATGGATTCTAATCACCTCCATTGCATTGATCCAAGCGGTAGAAATGTAAAATCGGGGCTGGACTGCATAGCCAGTAATCACTAGAGATTAGTGAGAAAATATGTTATTTGTACTTTGTGTGTGGACTGCCTGTAAACCATCGGGACTGTCAGCAGCACATGTAAAGCAGACAGTCAGCCCTTCTCAGCTGCGTCTCCTTGGTCAGACGTGCCACTGCATTCCTCCAGATGTGCCACGTCTTCCATGTGTGATAGCAAGAAGGTTTTTTAACGGCACCACACAGGCTGGTATGCATCATACTTGACCACATTCTCGTTAATGTTGCATTCTGCAGGGAGTTTGCAGCGGTTATTGAGACGGCAAGCCTTCAGATGCTTTGGGTACAATGGGGAGGGGTAACCACACATAATTATGGTGTAAATGCAACACTGTTGTTCTTTGTTGGCGTTCTCTGATCATGTGTTCATAGTGTGTTGTTTCAGTGTAGCATCTAAACACAATATCTATTCTGTCTATTTCCATGATATCGGATATAAGACCTCCATGTAACCATGGCAGGTGAAACAAGCAGAGGATGCTGATGATATAAACATGAGATACCGAGAACGGCCAGTGATGGTTTGATTGGATTTGAGGAAATCACATATTGCGTTTTTTCTCCCATCTGTCTCCTCAAATTGAGTTATGTTATGAGTTATTCTCCGAAAAAAATGAACATCTTTTGGGAAATGTAATCAGTTTGTGATTTCATAATCATATGCAATTATCAATAATCATATCAATGGTCATTTAATAATAACGCCTTAGTTATGTGTCATTGATAATTTATTATGACAAACAGCTATTTGCATAAGTCTGGTTAAAGTGGAACATACCACAGAAAGAGCTCAAGACAAAAAAAAATCAAAATGCACTTATCTTTGACTACATGTTGGAGCAGATTAGTTATATCACAGTCCTACTTTGTAGCCGTCTAAGATTTCCTCGTTAAATGTTTCAAATATCAAATCAAAAAATGGTTGGATATTCTGAGTGGTTACTTTGGAGATAACTGATCCCTTTTACTTCAGACAGCTGTTGCTTTGGTGTGGTCATGATCCAACAGCTTCGTGTGAGGAGCTGTCAGAGGTGTGTAGTTGATTCAAATGTTACCCATGGGATTATTGAGTTGGTATACCAAGTACTTATGAGGTCAAGTGAGTAAAAGCTTAGCTCAATAATCTTTAATTCCCTCTCTGATGGACTTTTCTTGGCACTTTCTGCACACGAGAGAGCTCCTGTTATTTTAGTGCCATTCAAAACCTTTGGAATTAATTTAAACCAGGGTATAATTAAGCAAATGCAGCAATTTTACCATGTTTTTAGTTGGGGTTGTTTGATTTTTAGGGTTTAGGAAGATCACATTTTGGAGCAGATCAGATCACGGGGCAGATACATAATTAATTACGTATTTTGTTCTTGTTATCATCATCATCTTGTGACAGTATAAACATCTCATTTATGCACAGCTACTTTTGGCTGCTTAGCCGGTGTCTCCTTTAATATGCATCAATCCCAGAGTCAGTTAGAAAACGGCCATTAAGAGAGACGACCGTTAGTTGTGCTTAATGTTGGTCCTTGGCAGTTGGAGAGTCAGCGTGGCTGGCTCTGACCTCCTTTCCAGCTCTTCTGAAAGAGAGCGAGGGGAGGCAGCAGGGAAAATAAAGGGAGGCCGGCCAAAATTCCTACATCATTTCCTCCTGTAACATCTGGCAATGATCAGGGCAGGCAGAGAGAAAGAGAGGATGTTTCTCACAGGCTGGCTTAGTGTTGATTTTCAGGCGTAGACAGAGGCATCACATAGCAGACCGCCCACTCAACCTCATTCCCCCTACTAGCAAAACAATGTGAAGCAAGATGGAGGGTTTCATTTGGTGGTCTCTACCAAGCCCCCAGGAAGTGCGCCGGACTCTGTGCCCAACATTCGTTGTGTCCAAACGGCGGTACTACAACTTCCGTATCAGTCCGTGACGTCACCCGGCCCAAAACAACTTTTTCCCATTGACTAACATGGGGAAAGAGACGTCTGTAAATCAGCGGATACTTTTTTTTAAACTAAATAAACTACCCAGTATGAACTATTTTATAGCCCTTATTATAATCATTAAGTCCTTAAAGTTGTAAAATGCACTAAAAGCCGAATCTAGATTTATTTTCTCTCTCCATTCATTCTAGTGAGCCGAGAGTGGGAGCTCGGGGGGCGGGGCTTAAGGTGCAACCCAACTGCGCATGCTCTAGCCAGGCATGATGGGTAATCTGTGACGTTTCGCTCTCTCAAAAGTTGGGCCATTTTGCCTTCATGCGCCAATGAGCAGCTCTCATAGGAAAGAACGAGACCCCGCCTCCCACGCTGTATCCAGTTCTCATTATACATCCATGGTCTCTACCCATCTCTCTTTTTCTATTGTTTGCCTTTACACACATCTTGGGTATTTATATCATGTTGCAAAGAAATACATGGTTTTTGTTTGCCTACTTCTGTGAGTACAAATGAGAAACAAAAGCTTATCCTCCCTTCTTCTTTTCTCAGGATGGCCTAGCCGTGTTGTGTTGCCAGCAGTCGATCGGCAGTGAGCTACCTGGACCAGAGGTGTGTACAAAACATTATTATCCAATATTTAAAAGCAACTTGTTATAATGTCTTTCTACTAATACAAGACACAATAAGCTCTTCCAACCCTAGGATCAGGTTAGCAAATATCTTAAATACTGTTATTTAATTGTTTAACATTTAGCCAGGTTGACTTTGATTATGGAACAACAGTGGAATTTGTAGGTTTTCCTTTAACCCCTCAACATGCAAACGTATGTATTGTCTTGTATTTACTTGTTTTGAGAGAGACAAACATACCTTTATATTTTAATCCTTCGTAGTTTATTTTTTACAATTATTCTTATTGGTTCAACAAGAAAGTGTTCCTGCTATTATTTTTATATTGTTGTCATTATGTCCTTACCAGATTGAGAATCTCTGTAGATATGACTTTGTTTAGATGATATACTAAGAGATATGAGATTCTGAGACGTAGGATCATTCTCAGAAACGTTCCATCAGGTGTCTTTATAAGATGTCTCAAATGTATGATTGTATAATGGTATCGGGGCAATTGTGCTAGAGTAGCAATCTCATTCAGATATGTTATGCCTTGGCAGCATTTGACACCTGTGGACTGCAGCTAAATTGATAACTGAGTATATTGAACTTATACTGATTTGCTTTTGTCCTTAAAGGTGTGTACCAGCGGCAGCAGCAGGTTGCAGATATGAGTGTGACCTCGTGGTTCCTGGTGAGCAGCGGGGGGACTCGGCACCGTCTCCCCCGGGAAATGATCTTTGTCGGCCGGGATGACTGCGAGCTCATGCTACAGGTGAGAACACTTTACAAACCAGTTCCTCCACTGACAACAGCTTTAAGAAACCACAACAGGCAAGACGTGCTTTTGCCTTTTCCCCTTTTCTCTTTGTATTCAGCCCATCCTGTCTTTATTAAAGCAAACAAAGCAGCCTGAGTCTTAAAGGTACAGAGATATTAGGATATCCAGAACCCACTGAGCCTGACACTCATGTTAGGGGTTCCTCTCAGGCATATAAATGACCTCCTGTCCTCGCAGAAGTCTGTTTCATAAGCTCAGTGTTTACTGTGTCTCACTGAGTACACTACAAATCAGCCCTCAATGTCTCTGTGTTACATTTACAGTAGCAGGGCATGTTTATATGTCATTATGTTGATGTGTGAGAGTGTCTGTGTACCGAGGTGGTGTGTGTGCAGCTGTGCATACATCCAGGGTGACCATGTTTATTCTCATGTGTACCTCTGGTCACTGCTCTATTAATAGAAAGTGGGGCAGATACCTCCTGACTTAGATCTGATCTGGCTGACGCTGAATCCATGGCAGTGGTCTCTGTTATGACATTTCATGTTGAGAAAAGATTTGATGGGAAGCAGTGACTTTCTGAGAGTCTAACTGTCAAGAAAATGTTCAGGACTCTTACTGATACCTATTCATTTTGAATGTGTCAGTGGAAGTTAGTCTCACTTTTCAGATTGGCCTCTCTATATTATGAAATGACTCTTCTAATGTTACCCTATGAAATAAGATTGATTTATAGCTTTCTGCTTTCTATAGAGCACTTTGTAAACTTATTAAAAGATAAGACCATCTGTTTTCTAGGTCAAATGTAGTCTGTTTTTTTATTACAAAATCAAAACTTCAAAAATATTTACACCATTTTGGGTTTTCTGGGTTAAACAGTCTTAATAATAAATAATAATAATAAATTCAATTTATTTAGCGCTTCTCAACTGCCAAGACAAATCCCGAAGCGCTTCACAACAGACGACACTGATAACATTTAAGAGATAACAAGTTAAAAAAATAAAAATAAGAATAAAGATAGCGATAAAAATGGCAGTACTCCAGGTGTACCATGACAAAAGTTTATTGGAAGGCCTGCCGAAAGAAGAGGGTCTTAAGGCCGGTTTTGAAGACCTCGGTGGAAGGGGCAGATCTCAGCTGATCTGGGAGGGAGTTCCAGAGGCGCGGGGCGAATGAGCAGAAGGCTCGGTCTCCCATTGTCCGGAGACGTGTGCGGGGGATGTAAAGAACAGGAGCGTGGCTGGAGCGGAGAGAGCGGGTAGATGTCTGGGTACGGATGAGGTCACAGAGGTATTTTGGGCTTTGGCCATTCAGGGCTTTGTAAGTCAGGAGCAGAACCTTAAACTGGATCCTGTAGTGGACTGGGAGCCAGTGTAGTTTGGCAAGTATGGGGGTTATGTGGGCGGACCTTTTTGAACCGGTGAGAACTTAGAAATAAAACTGAATTTCTGAATGACTTCATGTCTGATTAAAAAAACCCTGTTCTTTTATACTAAGAAGGTTGGCTTCACCCTGAATGGAGGCTTCATTTAATGGTTAGTCTAAGGTTGGCCTTTCAGTTTGTTGAGCTTCTATTCATTTTCCTGCTGGCCTTAATCCTATCACAGTAATTTTCTTTGATGAAGACATTTCAAGAGAGAAGTAATAAGAGTAATTTACTGAAGCATAGGCTTGTAGGGATTCTGTTTTTGTTTTCAGGAACTTTCTCTAATATGTTTCCAAGAAAAGGGTATATTGCGCCTGTGTGTGTGTGTGTGTCCTTGTATTCCTACCCTTGTGATGTCTTTTAATAGATACTAATAGAAAGATAAGGGAAATCTTCCAAATTCAGGAAATTCTTTAGCTGTGTGTGTGTGTGTGTGTGTGTGTGTGTGTGTGTGTGTGTGTGTGTGTGTGTGTGTGTGTGTGTGTGTGGTGGGTGTGTGTGTGTGTGTGTGTGTGTGTGTGTGTGTGTGTGTGTGTGTGTGTGTGTGTGTGTGTGTGTGTGTGTGTGTGTGTGTGTGTGTGTGTGTGTGTGTGTGTGTGTGTGTGTGTGTGTGTGTGTGTGTGTGTGTGTTTGAGTGGCACTTTGTGTAGCTGCAGTGTTCACAGTTGTCCTCCATGTGACTGCTTAACGCGCCAAGGCCTGATCACATGGCAAAGGTTAAATAAAAAAACACTCACTCACAAACAGAATATCACACTAAATGCTTGTAGAATAATCTGCTACTGACCACAACCTCTGGTCTTGTGAGCAGGTTAGATTTGACTGTGTTTATTTATGTATTGAAAAGGGGAAGGAGTGTAATAAATACAGGTACACAGTCTCCATGATGTCAGTCTAAATCATAACATGGTCAGTGAAGCAATCAGAGCTCTTTCTGTCTCCCAGAATGATATCCTATGTCTCACAGCTTTACTCCTCTGTTTGTGTGTTCTTGTTTCCTTGGTGAATCAAATGTACCTCATGTCTTCATCTCTTCCTCTCCTTGTTATCAGTTTTTCTCTTCGCACTTAATTCATATAACTCAAACAAGCGCATTTTGGGAGTTTTTAGACGTAGTTTATTTTGACCTCAAATGTGTTCACTTTGCTGACACTCACTTTTAGTTATGTTGAGCTATTTGTATTCAGAGTTGCCTCTGCACATATTCAGTAAGTCAACTCAGCGGTTTATCGGTGTGTATCTACAGGAGTCTGTTACATCCTGCGCTGAGAGGTACAACAAGCAGATCAGTTGGTTTCTATCCTGTTTGATCTAGCCTAATCTCACTAAGATAATCTGTTTGACGGTTGGCTCTCTAGAGTTGCTTCCCTTGGGTTTACTTCAGCAACAAATCAGCCATTTTCTAGAGCCTTTTTATTTGAGTATGACAGTGAAGTTCAGTTGTCTGAATTTGGGTTGTATGAGATCAATACGTGTTCCAGCTGGGCTTTCAAAATCATTCACTGACTTCAGCATCATAGTCTTATTCTTGCCTGAATCTTGCTGCGAAAATAACTTTTTATCTTTTTTACTTTTACCCCCAAGCTGTTTAAAATGTGTGATTCACATCGGAACACTTAAAGGAATTACTTGATGGACGTCATATCACATATTTATTGCATATTTTTCCCTGTTTGGTCACGGTTGGAAAAAAGAAGGCTGACATTTCAAATCCAGTATTTTCTAATAATGACCGTATCACAAAAAATCTAAAAATGAATGTCTTACTGTTCATACATACATTTGAATCTGAGGATAACACCATCTTTTCATCATACGTTGTTTGTGCTTGGAACTATTTATCCTGATAACAGCTGATCTGAACACCGTAGAAAACCAATATCTTGTGGTTGTGTGCGTTGTGCTGTGTCAGCGACATTGAAATACCTTCTGATATGCATCGCGTTGATATCTTAGAAGATATACTGCAAAGTTACATTGAGGATCACTATCAGAAGACATTCTAGGAATTGGATGCATTTACCTTCACAAAGATGCATCATAGCACATTCTCCTTCAGTCACAGCCTTTAATCGTTTTCTAAGAAACGTTCATGGTCAGGGTTACACCGTTTGATGTCTGGATGAAGCACATGTAACCATATGAGCAGTCTGAAGACATTTAGACAAATAAGCACTATTGAAGGTCACCTATTATGCAAAATCCACTTGTTCATGTCTTTTATGTGTCCCCTCTGTGTAAAGAGATTCTCAAAGTGTCAGGAAAAAAGATTCTCTCTCTTTTTGTCCTGATCCATTTGTATAAAAACCTGTCTGAAAATGAGCTGATCAGATTTTGGCCACTTTATGACGTCATAACGATTTTTTGGCTTGTGTAACCATTAGCCAATCAGCAACCAAGGTAACCCCCCCCCCCCCCCCCCTTATCACCTGGATCTCCTCCTAGAGCACCATTGTGTTCTTTGTAACCAAATATCTCTCAGAGGGGCGTGGGGAGTGGCTCCTTATTTTCATCTAAAGTAACAGACAGAGAATCAGCACTTTTGAAACAGGGCCGAAAACAGAGGGGATTATGGGATGCTGCAATGATCTGTTTGGTGTTTGGAGCCAAACACTTCAGAGACATGTTTTGTATATATCTGAGACCTATAATAAAGTAATGAAAAACATTATAATAGGGGACCTTTAAATATCAAAAGTTACCCCTTGGTTAATGCTTCATGTTTGTTTTTGTTTGAAGTCCCGCAGCGTGGATAAGCAGCATGCAGTCATCAACTATGAGGCTGGGACAGACGAACACAAGGTCAAGGATCTGGGCAGCCTGAATGGGGTGAGTACACACTTAGAAATATGCAAAACAGAGAGCGTTTAGGAGAGATTAAAGGAACAAACCGAACAAAGAAGATGACAAAATTACGGATGAGAGAAGGAGGTCACATGATGGATGAGGGGAGATAAGAGTTTAACCTGCCGAAGGTGGAATAAAGAGGTTTGGAGAGAGAGATAGGGACTGCAAAGACGGAGAGAAATCAGGAGGTCAATAGGACAGTCAATAGGATCTTTTATTTTACTGCTGCTAATCAATCTCCCAGTTAATGAAGATTTGTATCACGGCTGAGGTCAATACGAATCTAATCCTAATTAATCCTATTATGAGTGAATTTGTGGATCCACAGAATGCTTTTTTAGTTTTTTGTTCTTGTTTATACCAACATGAGCTGTGTTCTTCAGGGTTCCTACGGTCATTAAAAACTTGGAAAAGTCATGGAAATTCAAAATGCAAATTCCAGTCCCTGGAAAAGTTTTGGAAAAGAATATTTTTCCCAAAGTTTTGGAAAAGTCATGGAAATGTAACCAAAGTTGCATCAAATATAATTTATATTTTATCTAATCGCCTAAATAGTAATACTATAACGATAATAAATACTGTATCGTATAGTAATGAAACATAAAATGGCATTTAACTGTCGAGGTATTTTGCTGGTGAGAGAGTTTTACAATCACGCCCTCTAGTCTACAGTGGCTTTAGCCTGTAGGAGCTAGTAAGCCTACTATTTGATTTGTTTTAGATAGGCACAACATGTTTCATATGCAGACCTTATTTTCCAGCTTACCATGTTAAAATAAAAATGTTTCAGTGGTACTGCTGAGAAAGAGTAATTTTTTTGGTCATGGAAAATGAGGTAAAGGTCATGGAGAAGTCATTGAAAATCATTGGTGAAAAAGTGTATGAACCCTGGTTCTTCTGTAGTGGTCTCAGTTGTGAAACAGGAAATGTACCAATACACTCAGAAGAGTCCCCTGGGTGCTCTAAGTGTCATCTTTAACATCTTTCCCAATTCATTGAGCACAACCAGACTTTATACTGATATCACACATATGAGTTCTAGCACTCTAGTTTTTGGATTTGGTTTGAGAGTTGTTCATGTTGATTAATATTTTTGGACTGTCTTAGACCATAGTCCCCATGTAAATTGAATTATGTATCTTAAACTTACAAAACACAAATGAGCTCTTTGACTTGGTAGAGAAAAAAAAAACACTTTACAAAGTAAAAGTATGTAGTGTACAGCAAAATGTTCTCTGTGTCAGTTTTTATTATTATTTATTGCACGGCTTAGTTGAAAACTCGTATTATATATTACACAGGATACCAAATAATGTTTGTATTAGCTAGCTTTACAGATGTTACGCTAGGCTAGTAGATTCCCTTTGGTTTTAGCTTTATGCTAAGCTAAGCTAACATCCTCCTGGTTCATATTTAATGAACAGACATGAATGGGTGTAGATCGTCGCTTTTCTACTGCAGTCTCTTACCCTCTAAGTAGTTGTGGATACATGCAGAATGTGTGCAGTGAAACCTGTTTACAGTGGCCACATGCTGTTAGTCATGTGTAGTGATAAGCAGACACAGCCCAACAGATCGGACACATCCTCTCCAGCTCTCAGACAGGAAGTGGGAGTCAGAGCTCCTTCCTGCTGTGTCATTAACCATTCAGCTTCTTTGGCTGCATTCAGAGGAAGTTTTTTCCTGCTGAGTCAGCGTATATAAACAGATTTGTCAGAGTTGTGAGAAAAAAAAATCTGTGTGTTGAGGATTGTCACCCTTTACTTCTCTACTGATGTTTTCAAAGACGGGTTGTAAAGTTCTCATGGACTCAGCTCACCAGAGAGGAGGCAGGAATGTTTTTATTACAACAGCAGTGCAAGTACAGTATGATAGAGTTTCACTTGCAGTTCAGTGAAACCTGATCTGTCTCAGAGCTGCATGATAGAAGGAGGGCTCAGGGGGGGAATGGGAGTATGCGATCGTAATAGATGGGAATGAAAACAGGCAGGGAAAGACATGCAGTGTAGTTCTAAGGCCTTTAGTCCTGGCTATGCAGACTGATTTAAAAAAGACACCAGGATCAGATGATTCAACTGTTGGCATCATGCATACTAAGACCTTAATCACATGCTTTTTTTATGGTGTTACCTTTGTTAAATGACCATCTTCTTTTTCTCTTGCCTTGCCTTTCCCCCTGCAGACCTTTGTTAATGATGTCCGCATCCAGGAGCAGATGTACATCACTCTGAAGTTGGAGGACAAGCTGCGGTTTGGATATGATATCCTTTAACATTTCACTGAGCAGTTCAGGTAGTAAAATAATACGTAGATGCTTTTTTTCAAAAGTTCTGCACAACAATAGAAGAATTTACAGCTTGCAGTACTAAATGGTTCTATGCATCTCTGTGTTATTTGTTATATATATAGTATATCTTTGTTTATAAAACGGACAAGTCAAATCAAGCAATCTGATTGGTTCTTAGTCGTGATATAATGAGCGTATATCACGGGTAGAATTGTAGTTACTTTTCACAAGTCATGTATCCCTCCGCGTCTGAGAAAAGCTACAACCGTTACAGCTGTTACATTACGTCCGTTACGAAACGAACTAACTAACAAAGTTTAAGATGGAAACATGTAAGGTTAACTTCGACCTCCCGGGTGGTCTTACTATGGAGGAGTGGATTGAGCAGTGCCTATCTCCAGAACAAAAAGCACCTAAACGACGACATGCAGAGCTACGTGAAGAGCAGGTAGACCAACTGGAAAAGTATCACCATTCAAAAGCTTTCTGATGCGGGTCTTGAAACAAAGCAGAGAAATTATGACCGTTAGTGGCCACAGGTGCGAAAGCTCTCTCCAGAGCTACTGGAAGCCGAATCTCGGGGACCGGAGAAAGTGGAGCAATATTCTCGCCACGCCAAGCTACAGCCTAGAACAACCTCAACCTACAAGTAACCACGTAAGCCATGCTACTGATGCTGGACAGTTTTTCAGTGGGTGCACAATAAACGGCAACATACACATTAATGTAAATAAATAGCCAAATAATCGATCAACGCTCTCTGTCTAATATGTTCGCTAGCTGTTAGTGTTGTTGCATAGCAACCACCTCGCACTATGTTTTGTGCAGAAGGCAACGGAGGGACTATTTTATTTTGAACATCATTATTTACTAATAAAAACTATTTAAATTAGAGTGTGTATTTTTCTTTCATATTGCCACACTTGGTAACTGTTTTATAAAAGCAATAGCTCACTTCAGGCCGTGATATATGGTCATTATATCACAGTTAAGGGGCGTGGTTCGGCCCGACGCGAAGCGGTATAATGACCATATACCACGGCCTGTCGTGAGCTATTGCTTAAATATACATGTATCATAATTGTGCTATTATGGCTAGTATTTCCTTAACCTGTCTGTCTCACATACCAATCTGTTCACGGTGGTGAGAGGAGAGCTCACTGTGCCTGAGGAGGCTCTAAAGGTAAGAACACACACAGCCTGTGCCTTAACACACACTGTCAAGGAACCATCTTCACCAGGACACACAGTTGTATTATACTACTAACATCTCCAACTTCTATTTATTTTCTTTATCCTCTTAAGCATGAAAAATTCACCAGCAGCCTCCAGCTCAGCAAGAAGCCACCCAGCGTTGAAACCACTTCCACCACAACCACAATCAAGTCCCCCATTAAGACCCCAACAAAGACACCAAAGTCTCCCAGCAGCACCAGCACCCCGAAGCCAGCGGAGAGGAGGGCCACAGACGGGGTGACTTCCTCCAAAGAGCCATCAGCTAAACCTGTGGACTCACACAAAGCAGAGGAGAGGTTAGCAGGTGAGAGACAGCTTGGAGAGGAAGTTGAGACAGTATAAACAGTATATCGCTGTGTTGGTCTGATTACACTCTTTTTCTTGAAAATGTAGATCTATTGACTGCTATCACAGGGCAGTCCTTTCTCATTTTACTTTAAAATATACAAACAATACCTTAAAGTAAAATGTTCCATCTTTGAAAATTCAATAAAAAGGTTAGTATGTAACATCCCATATACCTTATTATACCCTGTACTAACACTTCATAATGTCTTATTGTACATTCATCTATGGAAATGTATTCTAAACAATGTACTAAGACTATTTAAATACAAAGTTTACAGTTCCAACACAAATTGATGTTGTATTGTGACTTTTTAAAACCCCAAGAAAATAGGATTGTCTGTTCTGCAACTCCAAAACAGAAATGTTCATCACATGCTCTTTAAGAATTTTAGGCTGAATTTCTCCACTTAAAAAACACATTTTCAGGAGAGTATGTTGAAATTAAGTGTGGAGGGATTTTATCTCAGGCCAGTAGGGGGTAGACATGGTCACCAGGGAAACCGCTTTACCCTCCACACCAACATGGAGTCACTCTGTTGCAACATTAAGACGGTTTAGGACTGAAGGCGTCCCTAATAATCGACATCACTGACCAGGCTGGGGTGCTAGCAGGGGTCCCAGTTAAGCTCCAGATGTTGAAACAATGCCACTGGGGCTTGTGTTATTGCACAGATTAAGCAGTAACAGGGTCAGAGGGCCCACACAATGCAAAACAATATGCCAGCACTACTTGTTTTAAAAAGCTGTAACATTCAAAGTCTGGCACGTAACCAAAAACACGCTAACATGCACATACGGTGTTGCATGTCTCCCCATCTTCTGCTCATGCTTTTAATGACACCCCCTCTGTGGTCTGTGCATGTAATCCTGCAGTGTTACTACTGTGACACCAGGCCTCACCCAGATATTAAACCTTATACTGAGCATACTTTTAGTAGCTTTTATATAGAAGGCCCCCTTATATACGCATGCAATTTGGCACACAGCATCTATAATTATTTGCATATGCTGTAATTAAACGTGAGGGATAAGGGGTAATAAAGACAAAAAAGGGGTAAGGAATAGGAAGAGCAAGAAGTTAACACACGAGGAGACTTCCTTCAGTACAGCGGTTTATCCCACAACATTGCTGTTTAAATCCAACTGGGGACCTTTTGTTGCATGTCTTTCCTCAGTGTCCCTGTGTCACTTTTCTTCTGTGCGGTCCAATTCAAAGACATAAGTAACCACAGGATGCTTGTCCCATGGCAGCTTTCATTCTAATGGGGGCAGAAAGGGAAACGGAAAGTCCCTCTTCAATTGAACTGCGTGTGTCTGAGAAACAGAGTGAGAGAGAGAGAGCATGATAAGAGAGTGTGTGCCCGTGTGTGTGTCCATCCTGCTGGCTAAAGTTGTAAAAAAATAGGTCAATGGTGCAACCAGAGGGGAATTCATTCAGCAAGATACACAAACACAAAGAGCAGCTGGGTTCACTTTGTGTCATCCTACAATAAACGGCTTATGTCAAGAGTATGGATGTAAAGTACACAATACATGTGTTAAATATGACAGGCTGCAATTGACGCTATATTAAAATGTGCACTGCATCTGTGTGTCTGTTTTAGGGGATGCTGCAGCGCTGCCTCGTGGGACCCCCCTCTACGGACAGCCGTCTTGGTGGGGGGATGGGGATGCAGATGATGAGAACTCCTTCAAACAGGAAATCAAGTCATCCAGCAAAAAACATGACAGCCCCATGTCAGGTAGGAGGAATTCTGTTTTTAAACTTCTAACTTCACACATGTCCTCATCAATGTAGTTTTCATCATGAAGTGCACAAACCAAAAATAGTGGTTTAAGACATCTATCCCTTTTCCTAAAACAACAATGGTTTTAATCGAAGAAAGCTAGTTGATTGTCAAGTGATGCCTCTGTATTTGTTGCATTTTTCTATCTATTTCTTAAAAAGTTTTGCATTGGGCTACAGACTATAATATCATTAATAACACATTTACAGGACAACAACTGTTACAGTCAAGATTAATTGTTTGTTTAATTGTTTAAAAACACAATTATACAGTCCCTATATGAATATACAGAACAACATGGTGTGTTTTCTCTTAAAAGGCAAGGACGACAAGACACCGTTTTCATACCAAATTGAATTTAATACTGACTTCTTGAATGTCATTTTTGCCATGTATAGTGTGATGATTCCGTAGAAACATCACATTTTAACAACAGTCATCTTTACTGTTGTATATGTGGAAAGTTACACATATCAGCATGTCTTTGAATATGTATTTTCTGCAAAAGTAAAGAAAATGGTGTTATTTTGCAATAGCTATATGGTGCTGTGTCACAAGCAGTATGCTATTGATAGCCCAAGCATTAAATACTAAATTGAGCAATGCAGTGCAGATGCTTTTATCTCAGTAGCTCGATCTTCATGCCCTCTGGCTCACTTTATTTGCTCCCTGTTGAAAGGGAAGCCAGCCGGGGGTGTGTGTGTGTGTGTGTGTGTGTGTGTGTGTGTGTGTGTGTTACAATGTGTATCCAAGTGCACACAAAGGCTTTTTTCAGAGCCTGTATGTTTCTCTGTTTGCCTACAATATGTGCCTGTATAGTGACCGTTAGACGGGGACGGGGGGGGACGGGGATCCTGTTAGTTGGTTCTGGATAGTCCGAGTAACAGGATTAGAGGATACACCAATAGTGAAACAGCTCAGCGGTACAAAATCAGTGTGTGCCAGGCTGGTTTCAGTGTGGACAGGGTATTCAGGGGGAGTGGGGGGAGGTCAATCATACGCAAACATTGGAGCAGACTGGAGCATCCTCAAATCTCTCGTCACATCTGGAGGGAACGTCTGAGAGCGTCTTCACCAGCCCAGAAAGGAATACTTTTTCCAGCTCTTAACAAATAGTTAATTTCTTTCTTAAACCATTTTAGGAAAGTAATTTGCCGTTAGAATGAGATTAGAAAGGCATTTTGGAGGAAAACCGTGCAAGCTTGTGAGGATGATTTGAAACCCCTAAAAGCTTTAAAAGAAAAAGGCAAATGGGACTGGCTACTTCAGTCATGGAAAAGGGTGAGTGGAAGTCATTTTCCGTCTTTTTTGTCATTGACTTTTCGACTTTTTGAGTGCTGAATGGCTGTTGTGGATTTGTTGTGTGAGGCAGCACGCTCCCCAGGGGGTGTTTCAAAGTGTATTTAGGTTACATGGACCTCAGCATCAAAAGAAGATCTTATCAGCGTACAAAATGTGAGCTTGACCTCTATATCTGCTCATACTGTTAACATCAGATTCAGTAGCAGTGAAGGGGAAGTGAAAGAGAGGTTTTGGGAAGTAGGTGATTTAGTTTTGAGTGTGTTTTTTGTTGCTTGCATGTGAATGACAGTTAGTCTAGTGTGTGTCCTTTTCTCCTCTGCATTGAATAGGCTGTGTTTGCTTGTGAGAGCCCCCTACCCCCTTCCTTGTGTATTGTCACTCACGCCGATTGGGTTACGCCATTGCACCAGCTCCCCCTACACACACACAAACACACTCATGGACACAGCGTTCAAACAGCCCACTCTCTCAATCCATACTGCAGCGATCATTAGCTAAACCACTCTCTGATTCTCCGGTAAGTATTGCTCTCAATTCCATATACTTATGATAATGATGAGGCTGGTAAAGAGTTGTCAATTTCAATCAACTTTTAATTAGTGCTCTTTAAGAACTATTTGGTCGTTTAACTGGTTTAACTCTTAAGTAAATAAGAATTTGAAAAGAGACGTCATATTTGAAGTCTGTCACACTTACCTTACAGGAAATGCCTTTTATAAATGCGTTCAATACTCACATATTTCAGGGTATCATGACTCTTTAATGCTGTGTCTGTGTCGACTTACAAATCAAAGCCGATTCCATAAAGCCTTGCATGTTTATGGTAAGCCAACAGAAAATAAATACTGCAGCACAGTCAGCATTAGTTTGAACTGTATTTATCTTATTAAACTCATTCATGAAACTCGTTGCTTTCCGGACAAGCCATGTGATTTATGGGGGTGTGAGAGGAAGCTCTGATAGTATGTATACTTCTTTACATTAACTAAATGTTTGAGATACAGGAAGTGTAGTCATTTCTCCTGAACTTCTTAGGGTTGTTTTGTCTGTTTTGCATAATTGTTTTTGACATGTCAGTCTTGTTTGCATGGTATTATATACCGCGGTTAAGACTTTGGATTATAAGCATCATTGAACATTGTTGATCTCAAAATCCTAATATTTACAGTCAGTTTAAATCCATGTTGTAAATCTTCCAGCTTATGCTCATGCTGGCAACCGCAGATTTCTTCCTAAAAAATGAGCCAAAGAAAAATGTTTAAGTACTCAAATGTAGTTGATAAACCGAGCGAAAATAAGCCTGAGAATCATATTTAGAGAATATATTATTTATGAGAAATGCACTCTTTTATATTCTGCGATGTCAGATTTCTTATCTTGTTGCTTTTTGCTAATTGCCATATGCTCCTCAGTTAGTCCCCAACATGAAGCAGATGGCCCCTCTCATTTCTGAAAGTCTCATTTATCATATTCAGATCCCACAAAGACTCTGTTTGTTAATATGACCAGATGAGATAATACATGCTCCATATTGTGAGGACCCCGAAGCAGATTTAAAAAAAGCTCCACTAACACTTTTTCTCCTGAGTGACTTTGTGTGTGATGTGTGCACCTATAAGCGATTGAGAGTGAAACTAAGAGACAAAAGGATACATGTATTTCTTTGTAGTTTATAGGCTGCATCCTCCCCCAGAAGGAGACAGTTATTCTGATAAATGGTGGGACACACTTGCTGAAGAGAGAGCCGTGATTGAATTGGTCCTTTGTTGGCTGAGCTTGACCGTTCACCTTTGGATCTTGATAATGAATTCTAGCATTCAACTGTGACATTGAAGCAGTATAATGTAATGTTAGCAAACTAATACATTCTCAAGATTTATATAGAAGTATCAGTGAATATGAACTGAACTGATGAAAAGTGATGTTATGACAACTCGTACGATGATTGATAACACGTCATACACCACTTTTTTGGTCTACTTGACATGTGACAATGTCATAGCGCTGATAACAATGAAACCTTGAATCATCAACCTTAGTAACGTCTTTCCTTTTCTTGTATCCTCAGACAGCAAAGAGGCTCGTCGAGGGGATAAATCTAAACAGGACAGCCTAAATGCGTCGTCCGCCAACGATTCCAGTTACTTTGAGATGCCTACCAAGGAGGGTCACATCGCCAATAACGGCATCCATGAGGTTCCCACCAAGGACACAGAGGGCACTGCAGGTGAAATATTCATTTCATTTATTCTGATTTATGGTGAATAAAAGAGGGAATGTATAGGTTATATTGTCTTTGTTAACAATTAAGAACTTTTGTGGTTTCTTATTACAGATACAATTCCACTCCTTCATTCATTTGTGACATTAATAGAACTTAAAGGTCCCATGTCATGCTTTTCTGGTTATTACCCGTCCCCTTGTGTGTTATGTAGCTTTTTCTGCATGTAAACGGTCTGCAGGGTCACAAACCCTCAAAGTACACCCTGTAGCGAGTAAAACTCTAACACAGAAAAGACCTGTCTATGCTGCCCCAGAACGCCTCGTTGGAGATTTCTCTTTTTCCATTGTTTACTTCTTGGGTATAGTGACGTATTTCGGGTATAGTGACGTAACGTAACGGCTCCGCAGATTGGTCCATTTACGTCTGCGGAGCCGTTACGTTTGGACCAATCCGCGGACTTCCTCACACACACACACTCGGCGGGACGTTGCGAGGCTCGCTGCTGCGAGGAGCGGGACACTGTGAGCTGGCTCACTGGTGTGGGGTCAGCGAGACACAGCGGAACTCAGCCTGGGCACACACACAAACTCCCAGCCAGGCTGCGGGTGTGTGTGTGTGTGTTTCAGGCTGGGTTTCGCTGTGTCTCGCTGTCTCGCAGACGGCCACTGGGCTCACAGGGGGGGGGGGGGGGGGGGGGGGGGGGGGCAGGAGCTCCAACAAGCTGTTTAGGACAGAGAGTGAATACACATACTTTACAGAGATGCTGTATGAGAAACCAATGTGAGTTTGGAAAATTGCACAATATACATTTATTTTAGTATACCTCAACAATGGAATTATGATCAGTAGAAATGGCCATGACATGGGACCTTTAACATATTTACAGATTCATTATTACTCATTTGAGTTCTGTCAGGGTGACCTTTGTTATAAATGTGTTGAATAAGATAATTGATATACAACAGAAAAAAGGAAGTGGCCAATGTTTGTCATGCACAAACAGAGAAGCAATCAGTCTGAAACAGAAACCATGAGCATGAACAGTCATAAATGTTTTCCAATCGGATCACAGAAGACACAAGTTAATGCCAGGTCTGAACAGGATCTGTGACTGACACAACGTTCTGCTCCACAGCTCAAGGTCACGCCTCCTTCACCATAGAGTTTGACAGCACTTCTCCAGGGAAAGTCACCATTAAAGACCACGTGTCAAAGTTCACACCCGACCACCACAGGTCTCGCTCCAAGAAGAGTGGAGCAGGAAGTGGGGGAGCATCAGGGAGGGACTTAAGCACGCTACAAGCCGCCATGATGGCCTCAGAGAGCAAGGTGGCTGATTGGCTGGCCCAGAACGACCCGACTCTGGTGCGCAGCGAGTCCACGGAGGACGACAGCAAGAGCATCAAGAGCGACGTGCCGGTCCATCTCAAGAGACTCAAAGGTACAGATTGCTTTCTTTTTACAATTAAACAGGTGTCAATTTTTTAAACATATTTGTTGTACCATTATCTTGTTCTACAACATGCGAACACTCTACTCGCATGTTGCGAAAAACATCTTAAAGGTCCCCTATTATACTGTGCTTCATCAATATATTATAGGTCTCAGATATATACAAAACATGTCTCTGAAGTGTTTGGCTCCAAACACCAAACAGATCATTGCAGCATTACCCATAATCCCCTCTGTTTCAGCCCTGTTTCCAAAGTGCTGATTCTCTGTCTGTTACTTTAGATGAAAATAAAGAGCCGCTCCCCACGCCCCTCTGAGAGATATTTGGTTAAAAAGAACACAATGGTGCTCTAGGAGGAGATTCAGGTGATAAGGTGGGGGGGGGTTACCGTGGTTGCTGATTGGCTAATGGTTACACAAGCCAAAAAAAATCGTGGCCAAAATCTGATCAGCTCATTTTCAGACAGGTTTTTTATATAAATGGATCAGGACAAAAAGAGAGAGAATCTTTTTTCCTGAAACTTTCAGAATCTCTTTACACAGAGGGGACACATGGTTATGTAGAAAAGACATGAACAAGTGGATTTTGCATAATAGGTGACCTTTAAGCCACCAATTCAATACATAATACATGAATCAATACTACGTTTTACACCATAAAACTGTAGGTATGAACGAACAGCTCAAATTCTAATACAAAATCTAATGACACAAACAAAATTGATATTTAGAACCTACTGAAGCACAACCTTTAATATAGTTTATACATAGTGTATACTGAGACATACTCTACAGCTATTCAGGCAGCTCTTTAGGGTACACCAACATTGTCAACTTAGCTTTGCAGTAAACCTATTCTTCTTTGTTATTTTTAGATTTGTCTTTTCCAGCTATGTGAAGCCGGGGTTATTATATTGTTAGGATCAGTGTTTTTTGGCAGTGGTAACCAAGCCAAGGGATTAGCTAGCAGACAGAAACATGTAAACCCCAATCGACTCATCTGATATCCAAGGATGAAGCTTAGCATGAGTAGCAAAGTACAGCCCCATTCAAAGAGATATTATCCATTGAAGAGCACATACTCTACGCAAATACTAATTTTGCATTGTCAGTGTGGATATCTAAATCCTCTCTGTTTACCTCTGTGGGCTTGTTGCTATGCATTCTTGGGGTAAGTTTAGAAATGTCTGTGACTTCATTTTTCTCTGCGTTTATTGCTACATTCACCAATTGCTGAGTAGGCTCCGTCTGCCGTGGAGTTTCTGTGATCATGTGCCATGCAAGGCGAAGCTTTGCTAGTCTCTAGTCTGCCGGTAAATCGACTTTAAGTTTGATGCTAGTGTGAGGTTGACTACATGCTGGTCATGAGTTAATTAAATGCAGGCCAATTTATGTGTTGTTGACATGTGTGGGGGAGGGAGCAGCAGACAGAAGCTGATGAAAATGGAAATCTGTGAAGCAGGAGTGAAAGGCAGGAAAACTAATTCATTAGATGGAGTTAGCACTGCATGCATGTCAACTGGCTGACAGCAGGGTTCACCTGATGGATGATTATGTTGCTAACTGACTGTCTCACTGACTTTGGGACTGCAGTGTTTCCAACTGAAGCTGTGACTGATTGATACTTGATAAACTGACCCTGGGTATTTCAGTACATGAAGAGTGAAAAGATGGACAGCAATAGCAAGGATGGACTGTGGTTTTGAAATGATTATGGGAGGAAAACCAAGAATTACTGCAAGGACAGAGAAAAAAAAGGTGGTGGAAAATGTGGGCTGAGTGAGGAGGAGAAGAGGGAGGGATAGAGGGCAGGTGGACAGCTGGATGGAACGCTGCCCATTGATGCTGGCAGGGGACATGTGAGCTGTGCAAAAACAGGTACGTTGGGGAGATGGCTGCGAGGGTGAGGAAGGCGGGAGAACCCTAATGTTACGCTGAGAGCAGCATTTGAGGCGTGACAGCAAAGGTGATTGGACAAAGAAAGGCAGAGGAGGCTTGTTGCCTGGACTGCAGTAAAAGCGGAAAGGGAGGTGGCAAAAGACAGAGAGAACAGCTTTTGGTAGACAGTTGTTATAGTAACAAAGATGGAAATTATGGCAGGAACAAGAGACGACACAGACATACAGATAGCTAAATCTAGCAGCGAACATCTCTTTGTGTCTGTGTGAGTGTGTGAAGGCTGCAGGAGCATGTGTGAGAAAAGCGTTTCAGCGCTGACGGAGGGTGTGTGAAGCACGTGCTGCTAGCATTGTGTGTGTGGCTGAAATGCGTTGTTTCTGTGTTTGAGAAATGCTCAGCGCTGATTTGCCGACAAGCGGTGAAGCATGTGTGGTGTTGTCAAGGGTGTGTCGTAGAGTTACTAGGCAGAGGTTTAGCAAAGTAATTGAGAGAGGAGACATCTGAGCCAAAGCTTCTGATTGTAAGCATCAAGGTGAGTCTTTCTTTTGCTGCTAGAAGGACTATTACAAGAATACATCTTTATACTGTCTGATATTGGTATCCCTTTTGGAATATGAGCTGTCATGTGTTTATTATGGTAACATACGTGCATGTTCCATACCAATGAGATACGATTGTGATCAGTAAAAGGCTTTGAATGTGCGATCTGAATTTTTTTTTTTTGTAATGTTTTGCAATGTTGATTAATTTTCAGTACATTGGTGCATTAGTATTAATTTGCAGTACATGTTAATGCTTCACAGATACATAAGAGTTAAAAATATGTCTGCATGTTACTGCATTGTGTGTAATGACACAACACAACTCTGTGTATGCAATAGAGGTTGCATGTTTGCTTGTCTGTGGCTTTACATGCATGTGAACTAAATGCATCCTTGTGTCTGATAGTTGTGTGTGTGTGTGTGTGTGTGTGTGTGTGTGTCAGTGTGTTCAGCCTGTAGCGGAGACAGAGTCCAGCTCCCCTGTGAGTCATGTCGGGGCGAGCGGGGCAGAGCGCCGGCCTCTCACAGATACCTCTGTTCTCCTCTGCCCTGCCAACAGCTTCTTTGTCCGGACACACAGCATGAAGCCCTGCCTCTGTGTCACACTATCTGCTCATCTGCTTAAGCTACCCTAACGCTTTTTCCTGTCTTATTTCGTCATTTTTTCTTCTTCTTTTGAATGAAATGTATGCTGTATTACATTTCAAAGAGTGACAAAAGACAGGCGGCTTGTGGAATGTCACAAATGAGCTGCAGACTCAGAAATATGCCCGAGGCCACAAAGCTATTGTGATAACGTACAGTAAATCCACAGTGTGTGTGAGACATATTATAAAAAGTAAGCCGCAGAGTCTGAGATATCATTACAGTTAGTTTGTAATGTGCTCCCAAAGCTCCTACAGTTCCCATAATAAGTAGCTTCTTCCTGTCTTTCATACTAATCCGTCCAATTTGTAGAGCAGAATTTCGGTGTAGATCTCAAGTTCCCAAGACTGAATCGAGATAACCCTTCATCGCATCGCTGTGACATGTCCTATAGAGCTTCAGAGGACTTTATACAACTTATTTTACAGGTTGAGCAGTACTTACTGTAACGAGTAATCCGATCCTCTAAAGTCCCCCCTGATGCATCATCTTGTCTAAGTTGGACCAATGTTGCACCATGCCAATTATAGGTCTAATGTCAATCCAATCATATACAGTATAGGGCTGCACGATTTGGGGAAATAATCTAATTGCGATTTTTCTGACAGATATTGCGATTCGATTTGCGATATTTGTTTTTAAGCGACCCAACGGAAGTTTATTGTAAAATGCGGCCATATCTCCGGCTGGGAAGGTCGTATCAACCTGCTCCCGTCTCTAGCACCCCCGCAGCCCGAGCTACGAGTGAAAGAACTAAACTTACATGAAACTTCCGTTGGGTTGCTTTAAAGTCAAGCTTCAGTTTAAGATTCACCCTGTAATAGATGTAATAGATGTAGAACATGTGATGGAGCATTACTAACCTGACTCAGATGCTTTGTTTCACCAAACCATCTAGGAAAGCTCCATTAGAAGCCATTTGGAAAAGTATTTCAAAAATACTTGGCAGGTGATTGGATCAATCTGTCTATCACCTTCTATCATGGGCCACTTCTGATTGGTTAACAATGGCTGGTACATATGGAGCACAGCACTTCTGATTGGTGTGGATGACTGACACACAAGAAGAAACAAAAAACAACGATTGATTGATTTAAAATCGATTAATCATTCAGCCCTAATACAGTACTATCCATACTTTGACTTTCAGGGAAGATCAGAGTTATGATGTATACAGAAAATACAATGATACTAAACACAAACCTTTGGGATGAGTTTTAAACATTGTGTCTGAAGTAAACGTGTTTTCCGAGAGTGATCTCCAACAACAGTCATGTGGTGATTCCTCCCCTCCTCTCTGAGACTCTGACTGACTGTTGGCTTGTTAAATGACTGGATGATTGAGTAAGTGGCTGTCAACACTAGTGGCAATACACTACATCCCGAGACTCCTTCAGTGAGGAATTCCCACTTAATCCAGTTCTTCTCCTTTCCTATCCACCCTCCTCTTTTCTTCTTCCCCCTTTTCTTTTAGAGTCTCCTTACTCCTCCATCCCTGAAGCCCTTTCCCCCCCTCCCACACACGCTCTCATCCAGCTCTGCCTCCCCCTCCATGGTCTCCTCCTCCCCTCCCCCTTCCCGCTCTCTCGCTGGCAGTAGGCAGGGCCAGTAACCATGTGGGTGGCATGTCTGGATTAGCGTGGCACACTGTCTGCCTTCGCATAAAACTGAATGGACATGCTGATTGGACCCAGACTGATCAAAATGTAGAAATGGCAGTTATGTGGTAGGTAAACCGGGCCCTGGGAGCTTAGGGTCTGTTGAGATGATTGAATGATTTGATGCAGGCCTCAGATGAAAGTGTGTAAGTCATTAAGACTGGAATGGTTAGTTAACATTTGTTTCTTGTTGAGGTATGGCTATGCTTTCAAGAAGATGTTGTTTTTTTCTGTGGTTTATACGGGACTTTTATGGGACCTTCTTTGCTTGATTTGAGTGGACATCTGAGCACACACATTGTTGTTCTGCACATTGCACAATACTGCTATTGTAGGAACCATGGATGTCAGAGGGTGGGGATTTATGTTGTATATTCATAAGGTTTTTGACTGTTTATGTTTTGGCATTGGTCTTTCTTTATTATAATATTATCTTGTTATCAATTATGAGTTGGATTAGTTGGGTCACATGGTTATGGGCGGTACTTATAGTAGATATAATCACCTGTGTGAGAGAGTGAGAAGGTCGCTGTATTTTTTGTGGACCAGAACCTTTTCATAGCTGTATCTGTCTAAAAATATAAATGTTTGCACGTTATAATAAATTGATCAATTCCATTAAAGTACGATTTTGTTCCACGCATTTTTGGATCTCAGCATTCATTTTTGATTGCTTCTGACAGAGGAAACCAGGGCCGACCTCAGCCTCTCAGAGACTTTGTTTGTTACTGAAGTTGCTATAGCTATACAGGGTGTCTGCGGGGTCTTAAAAAGTATTAAAAGTTGATAAATCAATTTAGCGAAAATTAAAGCTATTAAAAAGTATTAAATGGCATTTTCCAAGGTATTACATTTTGTAGCTTGTTTTCAATAAGTATATCAATTGTCCAAAGAGGTTGTATTCTACAGTCTGCCTGAATGTAATCATTGCGTAGGTGTGTAGTGTGATTCTGTGTAGTTTATTTATGGCATCCCGTTGGGTTTGACGTCATCTGAACAGGACATCACACGCTCACTGCTTGATAGCGCGTGACAGCCCGTTTACGCCGGTTGTTAAACAACATCGTTATGGGGAAATGCAAGTTTGCGTCCAAATGGTTGGAAGATAAGGAGGAAGGACAATCAATACTGTATATAGTAAATGTGAGGTAGAGTGTGTCGCCAATGTAACCGGTTAAAACTCGAAGTGGCGATGAGGTCTTGTATGGAAAGGGTCTTAAAAAAGGTCGTAAAAGGTATTACATTTGACTTCAGGATTCCTGCATATACCCTGCTATACTGTATCTTTGTAAAATAGTAGAAACAGCTGTTATTTGTCGCTATGTTACTGCTGTGTACATATCGTATGATTTATATTTGAGAAATCTAGTAAATATAACATCCCCTTGGTTATTGGTGTAGGTTACAGTAAAAGTCAGCGATTCCAAGAGAAGCAAACGGATCTAACTGATTGTAAATATAGGACAGAAAAATAAATATCTCCTCCTTTTCTGTGTCCTAATAGGCAGCAAGCATGATGATGGGACCCAGAGTGACTCAGAGAATGGACTGGGCCTACGTTTTGCAAACCGCCGCTACGCCCTGGAGGAACGCCTAAAAGCAGTGCACGGCCTCGCGGGAACCGGAGGTGGAAACATCACAACGAGCGTAGCCAGAACAGGTGGCAGCCGCACTTCCTTCATGATCGAGTTATACGACGAGGAAAACCCTCGCAAGCGCCGTTCGTATTCATTTTCCCAGACTGCACCTCTGCAGGGGATAGGAGCTGGCGGGGAGGCCCTGTTTCCCCAGCCTCCCTCTCACCCCAAGGTGTTCAGCATTTCTACTTCTGCCTCTACAACCTCTGACTCAGGTAATAAATCATCATGGCTAATATATATTGTGACTCTTCTATAAAGATTTGTCCGTTCTTAGAGAAAGTGCTCTGTGAGTAAGTGCAATTTAAAAGAGATAAATTAAAGGTGGGGTAGGTAATTCACTTCAGAAACACTTTATGTTATGACATCATATAACGTTTGACAGCCCCAAAAAAGCCCAAAATGTCTGTATGTCAGCTTTATTTGTTCTCTCTACTTGTAGGTAAGGTCCCCGCTCCGCTGTCAGCCACAGTGACTGCAGGCGCCCCTACGGCTGCCCGCGTCCTTCTCAAGCAGAGGTCAGAGGACCTGAGTATCGGGCGCTGCTCGGTCAGTACCGGGCTGGCGACAGGAAGCCCCACGAGCCCCAGCGAGGACGCTTCGGTGGTGGGGAGGGAGGGGGCAGCTACTGGAGGTGAGGCAGAGGACGACCACAGCGATAAGGGGACCTACACTATAGAACTGGAGAACAGGAACGCAGAGGAAGAGGAGGCCAGGCGCATGATAGACAAGGTAGGAACTTTCAGAGATGTTAGCAACAACTGCTACTTTTTTTTGCTTAAAAAGGACATTTTTATTATAGTAAAAAGTATAGAGTAAATGCTTTTAAAACAACAGCTTCTGATTAAAAGAATGCAATTTATTGACCGTCAGATGTGCATATAGTGCAAAAATCTACAATTCACATTAAATCTCATTACCCATTATGTGGATGTATACTAATGTCACTTTAATATAATCACACATTATGATTTTTCTTTCTTGAATACATTAATTAAAATAGTTGGATAATTGAATACAGTTGAGAACACTTATTTAAAGGGGACCTATCATGCAAAATGCACTTTTTTATGTCTTTTATACATAAATGTGTCCCCGGTGTTCCAGGGAACTCACGCAGCGTCAGAAAATAAAACCCTCTCTCTTTTCCTCCGTACCCAAATCTCTAAAAACGGGGCTACAACGGAGCTGATCCAGATTTGCGTTCGATATGACGTAATATCGGAAATGTAGGCTGGCTTTACACCCACGGCCCTATCAGAAACAATGCCCGACTGTTTTGGACGTAATATGGTCGGTGTTTACATTAGCATCGCTAACACTCAGAGCTAACCTGTACTGGAGAGCATGTGTGTGAAGAAGCAGGAAATAAAAAGGAACTCACCTTGTGGTATAACCGGCAAGAGAGAAAGCCTTTGAGCTCCATACTGTTTCAGAGATAATCCTTGATAATCCATGATATGGCGTTTCATCACGGCAGTATTTAGTTTAGACAGTAGCTGCCGGGTCCCGCATGAGCTCAGACCCCTCCTTTTTTTTTATCAATTTGATCAAAATCAGCACTTTTTTGAAACAGGAAGTGAAATGGAGGGATATGAGGCATGGCTAGAATGGGTGATCTGTTTGGTATTTTGAGCAAAACACTTCATAGACATGTTTTTTTATATATTTGTATATATCTGAGACCTATGCTATTGCCTAAAAATAGCATGATAGGTGACCTTTAAGCTGTAAACTGCATAGAGCTGGGTAAAAATCTGAAAACATTGCCCCAGACTGTGGATATAAAATACAATACACTTTAGTTTACCACACTCTAGGTAGATTGTCTTTTTTAATGCTGTTCCACAAAAATACAGCAACACAATGCAACTCCTTTTTAAATCTCAGGCTCGGAGAAGAGCTGTGGAGATACTTTGTTTAAGTGAATTGCATAAAGTTTGCAAGTTGAAGTGGGGGTTATTTATTTTTTACTCTGACTTCATTAAGTTTAGATCCCTCATGTCCCTAGCTGAATCATAAATATCTTCCTTGGTGCCTTTGCTTATTTCTGACTGTATAAGTAGCCGGTAGAATTACAACGGCATCATTTCAACGTACTCTGCAGTTACTCCAGAGAGAACACTTTGACTAAGCACAAACCCCAGAGCAAGGTTAATCGTCTCTTTATTATCTGCAGCGTTGGCACTTTCAGGGTTAGCAAGTCCTTTGAGACTGGTCTGTGTTGTTGCCGCTAAAACAAAGCTATCTTCTCTCAGTTGCCTCGCTTGACCACCACTCGATCCTCTCATGTCCCATTGGTACACCTAATGCTTCTGTAATAGCCCGTGGAGGTTTGCTCCATCAAGCACTGCGCTGTTTCATTAAACGATGCTCCGGGGAGGGAGAACGAAACACCACCATCTGTTTCTGTACTGTAGCACAGCAATGTTTTATGGGGTCACAGAAAACATGTCTGAAAGAGACAAAGCTACACTTAAGGGAGAGATGGTGTTATGTTTTTCTTTGGGAGGAAAAAGCTATCAATTAAAATAGTCAGAAGTTCCCTCGGCTTTAATTGCCACGTTCAAGATTCCAGTTAGGACTTCTTTTTTTTTAATAGATAGATAGATAGACAGATAGACAGATAGATGGATGGATGGATGAATGGATGGATGGATAGATAGATGGATGGATAGGTAGATAGATGGATGGATGGATGGATGGATGGATAGGTAGATGGATGGATAGTCGCTGGCTGGCTGGCTGGCTGGCTCGCTCGCTTGCTGGCTCGCTCGCTGGCTGGCTCGCTCGCTGGCTGGCTCGGTCGCTGGCTGGCTCGTCGCTGGCTGGCTGGCTGGCTGGCTCGGCGCTCGCTGGCTGGCTGGCTGGCTGGCTCGGTGCTGCTGGCTGGCTCGGTCGCTCGCTCGCTGGCTGGCTGGCTGCTCGGTCGCTGGCTGGCTGGCTCGGTCGCTGGCTGGCTGGCTCGGTCGCTCGCTCGCTGGCTGGCTGGCTGGCTCGGTCTCTGGCTGGCTGGCTCGGTCGGTCGCCCGCTCGCTGCTGGCTGCCTGGCTGGCTGCTCTCTGGCTCGGTCGCTGGCTGGCTGGCTCGGTCGCTGGCTGGCTGGCTGGCTGGCTCGCTCGCTGGCTGGCTCGCTCGCTGGCTGCTCGCTCGCTGGCTGGCTCGGTCGCTGGCTGGCTCGGTCGCTGGCTGGCTGGCTGGCTGGCTCGGTCGCTCGCTGGCTGGCTGGCTGGCTGGCTCGGTCGCTGGCTGGCTGGCTCGGTCGCTCGCTCGCTGGCTGGCTGGCTGGCTCGGTCGCTGGGTCGGTCGGTGGCTCGGTCGTCGCCCCGCTCGCTGGCTGGCTGGCTGGCTGCCTGCCCTGGCTGGCTGGCTCGGTCGCTCGCTCGCTGGCTGGCTGGCTCGGTCGTGGCTGGCTGGCTCGGTCTCTCGCTGGCTGGCTGGCTGGCTCGGTCGGTCGCTGGCTGGCTGGCTCGGTCGCTCGCTGGCTGGCTCGGTCGCTGGCTCGGTCGGTCGCCCGCTCGCTGGCTGGCCTGGCTGGCTGGCTGCCTGCCTGGCTGGCTGGCTCGGTCGCTCGCTGGCTGGCTGGCTGGCTGGCTCGGTCGCTGGCTCGCTCGCTCGCTGGCTGGCTGGCTGGCTGGTCGCTCGCTGGCTGGCTGGCTGGCTGGCTGACTGCTCGCTCGCTCGCTGGCTGGCTCGGTCCGCTGCTGGCTGCTGGCTGGCTGGCTCGGTCGCTCGCTGGCTGGCTGGCTCGGTCGCTGGCTGGCTGGCTCGGTCGCTCGCTGGCTGGCTGGCTGGCTCGGTCGGTCGCTGCTGGCTGCTCGGTCGGTGGCTCGGTCGGTCGCCCGCTCGCTGGCTTGGCTGGCTGGCTGCCTGCCTGGCTGCTGGCTTGGCTGGCTCGGTCGCTCGCTGGCTGGCTGGCTCGGTCGCTGGCTGCTGGCTCGGTCGCTCGCTGGCTGGCTGCTGGCTCGGTTCGGTCGCTGGCTGGCTGGCTCGGTCGCTCGCTGGCTGGCTCGGTCGCTGCTCGGTCGGTCGCCCGCTCGCTGGCTGGCTGGCTGGCTGGCTGCCTGCCTGCCTGGCTGGCTGGCTCGGTCGCTCGCTGGCTGGCTGGCTGGCTGGCTCGGTCGCTGGCTCGCTCGCTCGCTGGCTGGCTGGCTGGCTCGGTCGCTCGCTGGCTGGCTGCTGCTGGTTGATGGATGGATGGACTTATATTGCTGGGGATGGCTCGTGTCGGATATGGCTGGAGGATGGATGGATGCTGGTAGATGGATAGACAGACAGACAGACTGTCAAACAGACAGACAGACAGACACTTTATTGATCCCAATTTGGGAAATCTTTGCGTTGCAGCAGCATACAGTAAGAGAAACGAAGACACAGAAAATAAACAGTCCAATATATTTCAGAAATAGAAATAGAAATAAAATAGCATTAAAAAGTTAAAAGATGTACTGTTGCCAATAAAGATTTATTATATAGCCTTGATTTAATCTATGTATTATGTCTTCTTAAACAGGCTCATGTCTCTTTAAGTGTACTACACAGGTGTTATCTTAGGAGCAGTGATTATAATGAGTGGGGTGTATTTCTAGTCACTGTTAGAGTCTGAGTGCATTACATTGAAAACTGGAAGTGTTGTTATGCTAATTCCTGTAATTAACTGACACACTAATTGGCACACTGCTACCAGTCCGTCCGCTCTCGTTCTCTTTTGTAAAGTGTGTGTGTGAGATTTCTGTTCGTTGCCATGGTACTAAACTATCCAGTGCAGATCGGTGCTTTAATTCAACAGCATCTTCTCCTGTCTGTGCAGTTCACTTTAGTCCATCAACTGTAGAATAATTATCATAATGTTTATTATATCATGAGATGACTTCAATTCAAGTGTGCACCAGCTCTTATATGAGGGATACAGAATAAAGATGAATTGGAAAGTATGATAACACATAATGCCTTAAGATTTGCATATATTATGCTGGAAATGTCCATCTCACGCCATATTGTCAGCTTTTGTTCGCTTCTGATTTTCTGTAATGTTTCTAGGTGTTTGGTGTGCAGCAGAACCAGGACTCCTCTCTTCTGTCAGACCTGAAGGGAGAAGATAAAGGAAAGGAGACAGGAGAGACGGGGAAAGAGGTAGAAAACCGTACAGTGTATTTTTCTTTGTTGTGTATTTTGGTTGTTGTTTTTTTACATTCCTGTTCCTAGTTTTTTTTCCTTAGAAGTAACATTTCACTAACCATTATTTTCTCTCTTTCTCTGTCTGCCTTTCTCTACCTCTCCTCATATATTCACCTATACTCGAGTGTCCATTAGTACAAAATTGATGTTGGGACTCATTATTTGTTTTGATTAGTGTACACAATGACCTCTCACTCTCAAGTGTCTCATTATGCCTCACAGTATCAGTTCCAAGTTGTGGCATTCCTTGTAATTGCATGCAACCGCAAAACAATCGATTCCTCTTATTGATGCTCTCCGACAGCTGTGCATGTACAGTGACGTAACACCATACACACCTGTTTCAATTTGTCTCGGACCCGAGCCATTGCAGAGAGAGAGAACCGCTCAATAAGGCGCTAACAAAAGCTATTTACTCTTATTTCACCAAGCAATTTACCAGGGATCAATAAGGGGAATCTATAACAATTGAAATCTAATCAATTCCCATTCCTTCCTCTCAGGCCAGTGTAGTATAAAAGAGTTATGGCTGAGTTTCATAATGTGAGTCACAGTCCCTCCCCTGTCTTAACCCCTCCACTGCCCTTGCCTCTTCATGGGAGTAGGCTTGTCCTCCCAGAGACTGACCTAGATCATACTAAGATGTGGAAAGACAAGTTGGCCTCCAGGCAATTTCATAGTAGGGAGGAGACACAGTGAATGAACATTTTCTAAGTCTTTTATGCAATTTAGCTAGATAGATATCTATTTCCAAATAAAAGGACTTTTAACCCAGTGGGGTTTCTTTGGCAGTCTCCTAACTTTACACTTTTCTTTATACCCCACCCTTCATTCCCCCAAACTAAATCATTTCCATCATCATGTTATATATTTTGGATCAACACAAAAATGTCAATCTAACTCGAGATGCCTGTATGTTTTGTGCAACTACTTATTGACTGAACTGCTCTTTTTTCTCACTCCTGTGTCCTACTCTCCTGTCGCCCCACCCCCCTCTCTCGTGTCCCCTCAGGCTCTCACTGGCGACTCAAGCTGGGTCTCTGAGTGGGCCAGTCTAGCTGCCAATCACACCAGGACAGATCCGGAGGGCTCAGGAGCAGAAACAGCCGCCTTCCTCCACAAAGAGAGAGGTACATAGTCACTTGACTCTCAAGATAATTCATCAATCAAATGTTGATTTGGAGTAAATTATATAAAGTTGTTAGATTTGAAATACAATAGTTTCCTTAAAGCATGTACATCATCAGCAATGGGAATCACTTGAAGTTGCTTTTATTGAAGAAAATCTTGAAACTCAGTTAAGTTTGTCCTTTCTTTCCAGTCACTGATGCCTTTGGGTCCGGTGCATCCCTCAGCCGAGGTGAATCCTCCTCCAGTCTGACCGACCGTAAGCGCAGGACCCTCCCCCAGCTCCCCGTGGATGACCCCCGGGCTAAATCCAGTGCCAAAGCTCTTGGTCTAAGGTCCGAGATTGGGGAGAAACAAGACACTGAACCCCAGGAAAAAGAAAACAAGGGAGACGGGGAGTCCCCGTGCCCCATGAGGGACGGTGAGATGACCGGTAAACGTAAACAGAGCTCCACGTCCTCGCCATCCAAGGCTTCTCTCCGGTCCTCTGGCAGCACTGAGCGGAGGAAGAGGTCAGAGGAGAGGAAAGGGGGAGGATCAGGGTCAGGAGAAGGAGGAGAGAAGTCTGGGAAACCTCTGGTGCGCCAAGGCAGCTTCACAATTGAGAAACCCAGCGCTAATGTCCCTACAGAGCTCATCCCCCGTATCAACAGAGGCGGCGCGCGCGAACGCAGCGACTCCGTGGGCAGCATGGACACCGCTACGCTGCTGAAAGACACTGAAGCTGTCATGGCGTTCCTGGAGGCCAAACTCAGGGATGAAAACAAAACAGATCACAAAAGTAGTAAAACTTCTGCCCACAATCGGACTGAATCCATCTCCCCTGAGTCAGATGTTGACACGGCCAGCACAACTAGCCATGTGGCCGGAGAGGCGGAGAGAAAAGGCGGTGGCGACCACAAACGACGCTCCTTCAGCAGCATGCACCGGGAGAAGAGCACCATTAGCACAGCGTCCAAGACCAGCACCACCACCGCTAGTGCCCGTGACCGCTTGGAGAGGAAGACTAAAACGAGAACTACAGAGTCGACCGGCCGGACTGATGCACGGCGCTCCGTTCAGCCGTCCTCCAGAGCACGGCAGCCTTCTGTGGATCTCACTGATGACGACCAGACGTCCTCCTTCCCCATCTCTGACATCCTCTCCTCAGACCAGGAGACGTACTCTGGACCTATGGGGCGCTCAGCACGCGGACGTGCCTCGGATGATGTTCTCAATTCCAAATTCAATAAAACCTCCACCAGTGGAGTGTCCAAAACAAGGAGCTCTGTGCAGTCCGCCACCTCTTCCTCCGTGAGCAAGCAGGCCGCCCTGCCTCAGCCGCGGCCCACCAGAGCCTCCCTCCTGCGCCGCGCCCGGCTGGGGGACACCTCGGACACGGACCTAGCTGACGCAGACAGGGCGTCCGTAGCCTCTGAAGTGTCCACCACCAGCTCCACCTCCAAGCCTCCATCTGGACGGAAAGGATTGTCGCGATTCGACATGCTGGCTCAGCCCCGGCGGACCCGTCTGGGCTCCATCTCGGCCCGCAGTGACTCAGAGTGTCTGGTGACCCGGAGCTCCACCTCTTCACCCCGTCTGTCAGCAGAGACCGCTCTGCGTCTGGGGCTCCGCTCGTCAACACCAACTGAAAGCAGACTGACGCCCAGGATGAGAGCCAACAGCGTGTCCAAACTGAATGAGACCAAGACCAAGACCACTGCAGCAGGGTACTGCTCGCCCACAGGTGAGCACGACAACACCACACCTCATTTCTGCTTCATTCTGGGTTCCTCTTTCATTTCTAAAAAGTATTTAGACATTTTACTTAGGTGAAAATATCAAAACCACATTATAGAAATACTGTGTTACAAGTTCCTGCATACAAAACTTTCCTGAGGTAAAAGTACAAAAGTATTAGCATCAAAATGTTCCTAAAGTACAAGTATGTTGATAATAAGCTTATTTTTTCTGCGATACATACTATAACCCAGGTAGCTTATGAATTTGACCAACGGATCAGTAACATATCATTTTAATAACAAATGATACATGATCAATTATTTGTTGAATATATTTTGTATCATTAATCTGAATCTAAATATTCAAAGTAACTTAAGATCAGATACATATTGGAGTATAAGGTAGAATAACTGCCTCTGAATCAAACTATTAGCATAAAGTAGAAGGAAATTATAATGATCAGGTATAGAAAAACGTTTCTTATTATATTACTTAAAGGGGACCTATCATACAAAATGCACTTTTGTACGTCTTTTATACATGAATATGTGTCCCCGGTGTTCCAGGGAACTCACCAAGTGTCAGAAAACACAACCCTCTCTATTTTCCTCCATACCCAAATCTCTAAAAAAGGGGCTGCAACAGATCTGATAAAAACTGATCCAGATTTGAACACTGTCCTGACGTCAGGACGGTGGCGCTACGGCTATTGGGCCAACTCCACCAATCAGGAGGAGACAGCCACGGCCATTGCCGTTCGAAAGCGCTGGAGACGCTGTAGTACATATGCCAGGCCTGTAGGTGGTGCTGTTCTCACTGAATCTGCCCTTGCAAAAACAGAGCTAACATTTTTCAAATTGAGCGAAATGAGGCATGGCTAAAATGCATGATCTGTTTGGTATTTTGAAGAAAAAAAAAGTATAAATATGCCTTATATAGTATAGGTATGGTCCTACACTATATTATTCAAATATAGCATGATAGGTCCACTTTAAATAGGGGGTTCTTTGCAAAACAAAAGTAGTTTAAGGGTCAAGTCCAACAAGTGAACTCCATTGCATTCGGTACCTCATTTTGTGTCATCAGTGTGTGTCAACATTTGTCTGTAAACATTTCCACTGTGTTGTGGTTGTCATCGTCCAGAGAGCTCTCAGCCCGATCCTGAGGGCGGTGATGCAGAGGAGGAGCTGATGGGTACTGTACCACAATGTAGAGCCTTCATTAGACAGTGTGTGTGTGTGTTTGTGTGTGTGTGTGTGTGTCAGACCCGGGTCTCATCAATAGAAGCCACTCACTTCTGTCAATGACTTCCAAGTCTTTTGTTTGGAAATAAAGACCGTTTTCTTATTTTTTTTGCAGATTTAAATCTTGAAACTAAATAGAAATCCTTCACCAGATGAACAGATTAAATGTAGTTAGTCGTGATATGACACCACAAGACATTTCAGTGAGTGAATAAGATGACCCAGCTCTGGCATATGTTGCCTTGTTAACTCTGTGTCTCCCCTTGACATTCATCAAGTGATGCTGTGATGATGCTGAAGATCAAATGCTCTACTTACACGTAAAACGATTTTAACATTGGAGCTCAAACTTCAATACCCATAGGAGGTGAATGGTTTCGGGAAAGTGCTCCACCCTGTGGGGATTTGCATTCATAGCACTTCCACTTTGTCCCATTTTACCCTTGAGAGACTGACAGAGCATGGTGCTGTCTCATCATGGTGCAGCTACATTAATGCAGCTGGTGTGTGACTATTCTTTAATGAGCTGAACATAACCCTGGCTTTGACAAGGTCTTACGTACCTTGTTGGATGTTTGTGTTGCTGCCTGCATTGAGGAGCATTTAGATAGTGGGCTGCTGCTTGTTCTGTTGTTTTCAGTGTGGTTTAATCATTGCAAAACAGCACATCTGTAGCTGTCCAATAACATCAACTTAACAAACTAAGATACACAATAAATTAAATGTTTTGCTTCACCAAGACTTTAAATAAAGTATGTCTTTTTTTATCTTTGTAAAATCAATTACAATTACAATTACAAAAGTCAATTATTGAAACATTTCCCTACTCTTCTTCAGCTTTATTGTCAATAAAAGCCTGATACGTTGGGGGCTGCCTCAGTATCAAAGCTTCTCATGTTTCCAAGCTCATTTATTAACTTCATGAATAACACATTATGTAATAGAACACTACAATGAACGCTGACTGAATGTGTTTCCCTTCACTCCCTCCACAGTGGCCAGCAGCAGCCGGTGGAAACGTCTGCCTCCGGAGTACGGCTCCACCTCAGAGGAAGAGTTTGGCTCCAACAGGAACTCCCCGAAGCACGGAGGACGCTCCCACATGCGCCCTCACCACCTGACCCCCCACCGCAGCTCCAGACTCAGCACCAGCAGCCCCGGCTCCAGCGTGGTGATGGGGCCGGGCGGAGTAGTGATGAAACACCGCATGAGAGAGCAGGAGGAGTACATCAAGGACTGGACCGCACACAGCGAGGAGATCGCAAGGTACTGATCTTTTAACCGACCAAATAATTTCATGTCTCGTGAATTTATGTAAGGTTTTAATATGATATTGTAATACAAAGTTTAATAATAGCTCCTCTTAAAGGATAAAAGATAACCCCTTAAATGGCCATTTGTACATCAAAAGCTTACCATGGTTACCTTGAATACTTCACTGCAGTAATACTATATCAGAGTAGTATGCTCTCTACCTCCTAACGAATGCTTTTTGGCTTAAACCTTTCTTTATAATACACCTCTGCATAAACATCTTCACGCTTCGGTGGCGTTTTATTCGTCCGTGAAAATAGTGTTTATTGTTAAGATTTTGGGAAGTATTCAGCATACGATTCGATTTTTTAAGACGCGGGTTGTATTGCAAAGGTTGCATGTGTGAGTTATAAACAGTTATTTGTATATAGTTTTGCTGTTGTTAAACATGACTCTTAAATTAAGAAATTGCTCCATTTCTGTATCCTTTGTTAATCGTGGATGCATTGAAAAAAAAATATTATTTAATATTCTTTTAATGGCATACATGTAGCTCTTATCCTACTGTATGTGTTGTTGTGATTGCATGTTGCATGTCTTCCCATCGAAGTCTAAAGACCTCCTTCATCTGTCTGATGGTTAACAGGTTGTTCCCCTGTGTGCGTAGGATCAGCCAGGACCTGGCTAAGGACCTGGCCATCTTAGCGCGTGAGATCCACGATGTGCGGGCGAGATCGACTCCGTCAGCTCCTCCGGCACCGCCCCCAGCACCACGGTCAGCACCGCCGCCACCACCCCGGGGATCAGCCATCGACACTCGGGAAGAGGTAGGCCCTGCATGGCCCACGCAGCCGGACATACAGGAGAGCATGAGAAAGGTGCCTGTTCCTCTTCTTCATCACTGCCTTGCTTTCATTGCGCCTCTGCCACCCCTCCTGAGTTGCTTGGGTAAAACTGGCCCTGGTTGCTTTTGTTGCTATTCATTGCCAAGAGAGGTATTCTTTTTTTACACTACCATTTGCTTCACTTTCATTCCTTTATTATATTTGCTATTATATGCTTTACATACTTACTCACGTTCTTTCTTTCTTCTTGTCGTGACGAACTAACGAACAAAACAACGAAACGAAACCGAAGGAACAACGAACGGAAGAACGAACGGAAGAACGAACGAACCGACGGACGAACGAACGAACGGAAGATACGAACGAACGAAGGGAATAACTAACTTAATAACCACTAACTAACTTAATAACTAACTAACCAACTAACTAACTTAATAACTAACTTAATAACCAACTAACTTAATAACTAACTAACTAACTTAATAACTAACTTAATAACCAACCAACTAACTAACTAACTTAATAACTAACTAACCAACCAACTAACTAACTTAATAACTAACTAATAACCAACTATCTAACCAACCAACTTAATAACTAACTTCATAACCAACTATCTAACCAACTAACTTAATAACTAACTAACTACCTGAAACAATAACTAACTAAAACTTAATAAACTAACTTAATAACCAACTAGGCGAACCAACTAACTTAATAACTAAATAAAACTAACTAAGCTTAATAACTAACTAACTTAATGAACCACTAACTAACTTGACGAACTAACTAACTAACCAACTAACTTAATAACTAACTATCTAAACCAACTACACTTAATAACTAACTAAACTAACTACTTAATAACTAACTAACTACTAACCAACTTAACTAAACTTACTAACTAAACCAACTCACTAACTTACTTACTACACTAACCAACTAACCTACTAACTAACTAACCAACTAACTTAATAACTAACTTAATAACCAACGAACTAACTTACTAAACTAACTAACCAACTAACCTACTAACTAACTAACTAACCAACTAACTTAATAACTAACTAACTATGGATTCAATCTGAATTTTCGACCTTTAGCTTTAGTGTTCTCTCTGACAGAGTTCACGTTTCTTTCCTTTCTAAATAAACTAAATAAAGCTGGGATAAAAATCCAAGAAATATCTTTACGTTTTTCAATTGTATTTCTCCATCTCTCCCGGTCCTTGCCCAGTTGGTGGATCGGGTGTTTGATGAGAGCCTGAACTTCAGGAAGATCCCGCCTGTGATTTCAACCAATAAGGCTCCAGAGATCAACGGTAAGCCAGTGGAGCTCCGCCCCCGGGCCCCTGACACTCTGGAGCCCCGAGCGCTGAGGAGACGCACCTGGAACCGAGAGGAGGTGAGACGCATCACAGGACATCAAACATATACCAACATGGCGGCTTTCTGCAGTCACGTTCAGATTGTTAAACGTCCTTTCCTCTGTGTCTCCAGGCCGTGTTGGACAGCCTGCTGCTCAACTCAGTTTCCCAGCTGTCCACTAAGATCAGGCACTCCATCGACAAAACAGCAGGAAAAATCAGGTAATTATACGTGATATTATAACTGCTGGGAGTATTTAATAGTGTATTGATCAGTCAGTGTGCCGTTGTGTTGCTCTGTCTATCCACTGTAAAAAAACAATATTGTGATTTTTCTTCAGGATTTTGTTTAAAGATAAGGACAGGAACTGGGACGAAATTGAGAGTAAACTGCGGACAGAGAGTGAGATACCAATGCTGAAAACCACCAACAAGGTACAGAATCTGAGTCTCTGAGTATTATTTGCTGACAGAAGTGCAGTTTTATTGACTCATAATAATTGACTTGTTTTCTTCCTCTCTTTAGGAGTTCTCCTCAATTCTGTTGGAATTGAGGAGAGTTGAGAAGCAGCTTCAAGGTAAAGACACAAACATAATCCCACCAGTTCTACTAACATTTGTGAATTTAGCTTAACGACTACACACTTTAACAAGACGTTGTTTACATTTATATGATAGTCTATGGATAAGATGCATGATTTTATTTATTTATTTATTTGAACTTCATAGATGAGGGCATAATAATGTGAATTCAAATACAAACCAAGAGCTTAATCCAAAGTTTATTTTATTTTTCAAAACACTTCAATCACTAGACATGACCCGTCCACACTCTAATCTTCTCTCTGTTTCTGTCCCAGTGATCAATGTGATGGTGGACCCTGATGGGACCCTGGATGCTCTGGCCAGCCTGGGCCTGACCAGCCCCACGACTCCCACCAAGCCCCTAACGGCCAAAACAACTGCCACCAGCCCGGGGTCTGCTCCCCCAGCCAAAGAGTCCCTGCTGGAGACCCTCCCGGGGCCCGGAGCCTCTGCCAGAGCCCAGGTCTCCTCTGTCATCACAGAGGAGACGGCTCGAGACCCCGGCCTGAGTCTCAGTCTGACGGCGGTCGGGGGGCGGCCCTTCAACCGCATGAGGCCGAGCGGAGAGGAAGCCATCGCACAGAAGTGAAGTTTCAATGTCATGTGAATAAACATTTGATTTGGAGTGAAGGCGGCTAGTTATCAGAACAACAAAGAAAACATTCAAACAGTTGCCATTCAGCTGACTTAACCACTCCAGGAATATAACACAAACACAATTTAGTTAAAGTTTCACCAGACCTGTCCGGAAATGAAGTGCTTCAGCTGACTGGAACCCAAACCGATGCATCATGGATACACCCTCCAATGGAAATTCCCCCATGAGTGATTTGGATGAATCTTTTCAGCTGTTATTGCTTACAGGACAACCTCAAGCTACCTGGCTGCTCTCAGTGGACACATCTCTGTTCAGTCTCTCTCCTCCTCTTGCCTTCTCCATGTGTCTGGACCCCACCTACACTAAGGACATGCCTTAAAACACTTCCTCTATAGTAGCCGCCCCTCAACCTCAAATAATATACAGAACAACTTTATTACAGTACTTTCAGACAAACAGAATGCATTGTAACATAACATCTTATGCAGAATACGTTTTATTTACACTATGCTGGAACACTGCAGTGATTTTATAAGCTCTTGTTCAATACAAAGGATATGTCAGCAGCTTTATAGCCGACCCCCAACATACATGTTTTATGCCTAAAACTGTTCATAAATCAGGCAGAATTGCAGATGTTTAAGATAACCCTAACCGTCCATTGATGCATCTCTGAAACTGACTGACTAATAAGTAGTGCCTCCCAATATCTGTGCCCCCCTGTTTCTCCTTCTTTCATTATGTTTGACTCTTTCCCTCCCTTCCTTGTCCCTCCAGTAGCATGTACAGGACCGAGCTGAGAGCTTTCCTCCTGCAAGTTGGTGTCTGTGTTGATCTTACTAATACTGAATGGTAGTTTTACACAAGAGTAGTAACGGCCTTTGGGAAACCAATGATCATTTTCAGGCTAAATAATCACTTACCAAAGTTAACACGTCGTGTTATTTTCAAACAGTTGACCCATCTTGACATTTGTTGTGCAACAACCTGAGAATCTGAATTTAAAATATGGCAATTCATCTCATACGGCTCATCTTCCTCTGCAGTTCATCCCTTTCTCTGAATGTCAAGATCATTTTCATTCAAAAAGCATATTTATTTTAATGAAACACTAGTTTAATCATCGCTGCCATCTTGTTTTTGGCCCATGTGACATTGCCTCTGAGAATCTGTGCCCTTTCCACTCAAGTGTCCTATGATTTCCAATTGGCTTTTTTCTACTTTTTACAGTTGCGGGTGATTTTTTTTAAATAAGTAATGATGAGAAAAAAACAAACATGGTTCCAACTAAATATTTTATAATATTTAAATACTGATATTGTAGATATTTGAAACCTTTTACTTTTTAATACTTAAAATACACATTCTCACATTACAACGTTTTTTATCAGTCCCTGATAACCTAAAAAGCTACTGGAATTGGTTTTAAGGAACTTTGTTGAGAAAAGAACACAAGGCAACTTACAACGAGGCCTAAGATGTGTATTTGGGGAACGTCAGCGAGTAGAAATGAACACAGCTTTGAAAATAAGCCCCCTGTCTACTCTATCTATTTAGCTTGTAATGTGGCTCATATCAGGGTATAACGTTGCATTGTTCTTCACCAAGGAGGGGGATTTCCAAGGTAATGATACTGTAGTATTGCAGACACAATATGGTTAACCTCACTTTCATTGCATTTGCTGCTTTTCTTTATGGGGCTAACCATTTTTCTAATTTCCCCTTCAGCGTATAGTCTGTGTTCTAGAGCAAGATGACTTAAAGGCAGTGTATTAGTACTTAGATGCTCTTGCAATAGTGAATTTAGGTACCAGAATACGTTCATTTTGTTCTCTCTATACTGTACTGTACATTTTTTTCAATGCCTCGAAGTGCCCGTTTTGACTATTCAAGGGCATTGATTAAAAGAAAAGAAAAAGACGTAGCTGTCTGAAAGGTTTCTCTTATTTTGCACATCAGATTGTGGCGTTTTTCATACAGAAGAAGTGACGAAGCAGTGGGGGGCTGCATCAAATGTCAATTGGTTTGACAGGAATGATATCACTTTGATATGAGAAGTGACTGCCTTGCCACTCTGGAGCTTTTCTGTCTGTAAAATCAAAGCCGCTAATCATGATTTCCCCCTCCCCCCCATTGTATCAAAAGACATGAAATGAGGGGACTGTGAATGCTAGGTACATGTTTATTTTTGAAATTCTACATGTGTCATCTGATCAGTGTTTTTTGTCATTTTTGTAAAGAAAAAACATCATTTTATTTTATTTATTTTTTGTTTAATATTCTGTGGATTTGTCATGTATTTTATATTTGTTCCACTATCTGCAATGTTTCTTACTGTTAATAAAACAGAGCCATTCACTTGTGTCCATATTTTTATTTGACTGGATATTAAACATGTAGACCAGGGGTGTCAGACTCAAATACACAGTGGGCCAAAATAAAAAAATGGGTACTAGTCGAGGGCCGGACTGGTTCAATGTTTATTGCAAAACTTATTGAAATGAACTTATTGCACATATTAAACCTGGAACTAACAAAGCTTAAATGATTGCCTATAAAAACAACATTAAACATTAAATAATCAGTTGCATTCATTTCTTATGGCTCTCTCTGCAGCTTTTCCAGAGTCATTTCTTATGATTACATTTTTCCACAGGCCAACAACAGCTTCAGAAAAACAATTTCCCTCAAAGAAAAAACCAAACATGTCCTGTTGTCTCAAGAAACAAAGTGCAGAAGGAAACATCCATTGAAACTCAGTTTGCTGCTCTGTGATGCTAGTTCAAGCCAGATACTTGGCATCTCATCTTGGGTGCAAGTTCATCAATGTTTGGGGTTAGGCTCTGAGCGGAGAAAACCCTCAGGATTGAGTGAAGGTGTGCGTGCAATATACCGGCGGGCCAGATCTAATAGTAATTCAAAATTATCCTGCGGGCCGAAATTTAAATCCACCAAGGGCCTGATTTGGCCCCCGGGCCTTGAGTTTGACACATGTGATGTAGACAGTATGCGTTTATATACTGCAGTGTAGACAGTATATAAAGGCATTAAACTTGATTTCCTTCCGACTAGTTTCTTTGTATTTTTGCTTTTAAAGTTAAACTGTGTTTCAACGACCAATGTCACAACGAACATATATACATTTATTCCAAAACTGGATTGCTTAACACCTCTACAGGGACTTTTTAATTAAAGAAAATACATGAATTCAGACCAAATTACCCTAATTCTTACAGATTAAAAAAACAACATTTATCATGTCTTAACTGAAAATGGCAGTTTGCTTTTGCATTTTTATAATATTTGTAATTATTTTAGGCATTCAAAACATTTTATATAAAAAATGCCAAACATACACTGCTAAGATAACGATTGTGTTAGTACAAATATAAGCCCCAATATCGAAGTTCCAGCGTCAGCTAAATGCTCTGCCGAGAACAGAGGATCGAACTCTATTAAACTAAGCTGACTACATGATACTTTCTCTAGCGCAGGGTAATGAATCACAAAGTGTAATGTGAGGTGTGTAGTCCTCCAGCAGCCGGTGTGCTTTCTCTTACTGCAGACAATTCTGTCTTTCACTTAAATGCTTGTAAAAGGCACCAAGGTAAAGAGAGCAGCAGTGCTTGAAATCCCTTCAGTGTTCTTCATATCTTAAAGGTCCCCTATTATACTGTTTTTCATCAATATATTATAGGTCTCAGATATATACAAAACATGTCTCTGAAGTGTTTGGCTCCAAATACCAAACAGATCATTGCAGCATCCCATAATCCCCTCTGTTTCAGCCCGGTTTCAAAAGTGCTGATTCTCTGTCTGTTACTTTAGATGAAAATAAGGAGCCCCTCCCCACGCCCCTCTGAGAGATATTTGGTTAAAAAGAACACAATGGTGCTCTAGGAGGAGATTCAGGTGATAAGGTGGGGGGGGGGGGTTACCTTGGTTGGTGATTGGCTAATGGTTACACAAGCCAAAAAAATCGTTATGACATCATAAAGTGGCCAAAATCTGATCAGCTCATTTTCAGACAGGTTTTTATATAAATGGATCAGGACCAAAAAGTGAGAGAATCTTTTTTCCTGAAACTTTGAGAATCTCACACATGTTGATGTATAAAAGACATGAAAAGGTGGATTTTGCATAATAGGTGACCTTTAAAAAAGCCAGGTTTGACAAATGTAACATAAAGACAAGGTTCTGTTTTTGTGAAGTGCTCTTTATTATCATGAATGAATTTCCAGGTTTTGTCTGACTCTTAATTCACATGGTTTATTCTGGTTGTTAAACAACAGACAAACAACACTGATGGCAGGATGTTCTGTGTGTGGGGGGGAGGTTAGCCGGGGGGCCATGCCAGTGGACGTCCACCCAGGACGTGGATGTGGATGTGGTAGACGGACTGGCCTCCATCCGGACCATCATTCACGACAATCCGGTAGCCTTTAGTCAGACCCGCCTCTTTAGCACACTTCTTCGCAACGAGCATCAAGTGGCCCAACAACTGAGAGACAGAGAGAGGAAGATGTATGACACTAAGAGACATACATGTATAAAGTATAAGCAGACAACCCCTGAATTACAACACAGTGTTCACAGTAACTGTAAGACAAGCATTAAGTCTTGTGAAGGTTTCCATCTAGTGGTCACAGTTGTTGGACAAACACTTAGTGGGGATTCAGTCATGTTCAGTGTACTGAAAAGTCAAATTCAAGCACTTTTCAAGCATTTTAAGATACATTTTTAATCTTTTCCAGACCCTCAGAGTGTGGTAAATTATGTAAACATTTCTTACAACATACGAATCATTGCACTTCTTTATCACAATGTTATAGTGCTTTAAAAACACAAGAACAAAATTAAAACACATTTGAAATTCAAGTGTTTTAAAGGATTTCCAGCAAGCGTATGGGAACTCTATTATAGGATTGTACTTACTGCAGCATCACTATCCTCAGCTTGTGACAGCTGAACGATTGGCTTTTTAGGGACGACGAGGATGTGGGTGGGAGCTTGAGGTGAAACATCAGGGAAGGCAATACACTGAAATACAAATAACACACATTTAAAACAAGAATTTAGCCAGTTCAAATGTACAACCATTAATATGATGCAATGCAAAAGATGCTACCTCAATTTGTATTGTGACTTCCACCCCATAAACTGTACGTATATATAGATAGTGTGCTGTTACTGCATGATGGGTAAACTTCAAGACGAGGTATTGCAAAGAAATTAAATCCTGGTAATAAAATATCTTAAACAAAAAATTCAACATGTGTTCAATGTAACCATTTTTAAAGTTGATAATGGCCATTTCTGGTACAACAATCTTACAGTATTTGTGTTAGGATGTTGCATGTGTGGTCTCAAAGATGCCACATTGTAAAATGCTTATTTTACCTATTTAGCAAATGAAGGAAATCAAATATATCTTATTACATTTGGAGTATTAAGAAGTTCAGAGATTTTTAAAGAACTTTTAAAGAAAAGTGTAACATGACCCAGATACACTGCAGTGAACCTGTTTGAATCACTGATACCTTCTGATTGGATATGACACAGGCAGCTTTAGTTTTATTTGTGTTAAATACTACAATAGCTGCTTTAAGAATTCAATTCACTGCAACCAAAACACATGCATGCTTACAGTCAGTACAGGCTAAACATGAAATGGATCAGCTGGAGTAGCAGGTAGACAAGTGGACCTTTCCGTACTTTGGTGTAAAGCCAACTAAAGCAATGACTTCAATATGCAGACAAAAATATAAACCATGGCTAGGAGCCCTTCTACTGTTTTAAAGCATTTATGTACTCAGGGTTGCTATTTTGGTTTGGTTTTATTCTGAGAAAAACGACCTACACAAGCACACGTGTCTTAATATTCACAACATTATACAGTACAGTTTCTACACAGCTAGCATGAAGCTAACGTTAGCTTCACGTCTCCTGCAGGGCGCAGTGCGGACAGAAACAGTGTTTATAAGTTGAAATACTGAATGCATACCAAGTCATCTTCATGGAGCAGGGTGGCAGGAATCTCTTTTCTTATGATTTTTCCAAATATAGTGTCTCCACCGGGCTTGGCAACCTGCGCTTTTGCCATTTCATCAGCCATGTTGGTGCATATGAGAGGAACTGTCAGCGCCGGTTTTGGCTTTGTGAAACTACAGAACGCGTCATCGCAAAGTCTTCACTGATTGGTCCTTGGTACTTCCTCCAAACCGGAAGTGAGCTAAAGAAGTCAAGATGGGCACACGTTTGAAGGTGAGTTCGGGAAATAATCATGCGTTTATATAAATAACATCATAATAACAATGTTTTATTTTAGTTTATATAGTTTGTTTGTTTCTCAATACACATGTTTGCATATTCTATGAAGTAGATTGCCAAAAGGACAGGGAATTATAGTGTCACATAAGTGCGACTGTCAAGGTCCGGATGTTGTGAAAGCTTCGTGTTTACATACTGTCTGTGGTTTATATTTTTTATTACATGTACAGCACTTTGGCTCGACCAAAAATCGCTTTTAAATGTGCTTTATAAATAAAACCTGATTTGATTTGATTTGATTTGATTTGATATATCACGTGTATTACATTTGCAGATCCTCAGCACGTTTAAATCGTTGCACAGAACCAGGATGGCTGTATTCAAAGATGATGACAAAGCACTGACAGGTGAGACTAATGTTGGTTTGATTCCCAGCAGAAGAATATCCGTGGCTATCTTTCTTTGGATTATTAGAATCAGAATTGTAACTTGTTACAGCAAAGTATAGATAGAGACAAAGAAAATAGAATATTATTATTTAAGAAAGTAGTGCTTTACAATATTACAATTTACAGAAGTACACATTCAGATTTATAAGTAAGTGGCAGCAGTATTATACATTAAACTAAGTGTAGCACTGCAGAATGAAGTGTGTATTTATAACAGTGGTGAACTTATTATTCAAACGTCTAAATCCTTTCTCTCCACAAAGCTGCAAGATTAAAGATCAACGATGAGTTCCGGAAAAACAAAGAGGAAACGTCAGAAGAAAACATTAAGAAGGTACAGTGAAAGTGCAACATGAAGGGACATTGTGTGTTCATGTTCATATCAAGTCTGTACTTTAGCAGTTGTGCATCTAAATAACATTTAGCTTCTTATACTAATCTAAGTTATTTTCCTATTAAGTATCTGCTGATTCAAAGTCCAATCCAAAATATGTTTTAATTATAATTTTCATGTCTACACAGTGAGGGCTACAGCATTCAGTTATAAACATAATAGCACATCTGTTAACCCTCATTACCCTTCTTGTTTTTTTTTTTACAGATGCTGAAAATGGGCTCATCTGTGGAAGCTATTCTGCGGCAAGGCGTGTTACAAGTGGAACATGTTGGAGATAATAAACTCTGTATGTTGTTATGTTCCATAATCTTGTCTTCTTTCAACAAATATAAAACATACATCTTGACCCTGATTTTACATTTCTCTCACAGTGCTTCGACCCAGAGAGAGCCTTCTACTCGAAAATGTACCTTATTCTGACGAGCCACGGAAAAAGGAATGAAAGACCATCTGATTACATATTTTTCTTAAATAAGAGACTCACCATCATCCGCTCTGTTCCTCTGCATTTAAAGGATTCAACGCACAATATTTCAAGTTGTTCACAATCTCCTGAACTAAGAACATTTTAAAGATCATTGCTACATGGAGAAATGTCTTGTTCTGATTTACTCAAGATCTCATTTGCGCTGCTTAAGGAAATCTGTGCTATGAATGAGATGCCCTTACTGTACAGTATTTTGTCAAATGATATTATGTATTGATTTACTTTCTGAGTGTTCTGCCTACTTTTTTGTGGGTTTTTTATTTAACTGATTTAGGGAGAACTTCTTCCCTGCTTCTGATAATATTTCATTGTGTTCTGATTAAAGAGGAGTATTCCCAAAGTTTTCATTTATTGTTCAAATCACGATAAATTACGTATGAATCTAACATGACAGTGGGTCAACAGTCAACAACACTAAGGGTAAAGTCCCCAACAACTTCCAATTAAAGGTCTCGTAAAATGTAGGTAGGTTTTCCACAAAAAAAAGGTTTTAAAAATACATGTGAGAGTTATTTCAAGACATGTTTGACTGACAACAAATACTGTTTTAAACCCTGGAAGATAACATTACAATTATCCTGAGGTGTCTTATCTTGTGCCCCCTCAATTTTGCTAGGGGAATAACAAAAGTATGGTGTAGTTTAACAGAAAAACATGTGTTTTTATTTTACAGACGATATCTAACACAATCTAAGATACACGCATTGTAGATCATGTTTTTTTAAAAAAGCTGTAATATTTTTGTATAATTGGAGCTTTGAAAATGTTGAACAAAACTGACAAACCTTGACTGTTAATGAAGACACTACATTACCCACAATGCTCACCAAGGAGTCCCAATGATGACATCTTCTAAATGCGCCGTTACTCTGGCAACGTTTGTTTCTTTCGGTTGTAGCCGTTTAGCTAGCTTGTCAAAGTTAGGGAAAAATCAAATTTGATGCCGAAAATAAGGTGAGAATAAGTTTGTATAGGACTTTTCTTATTTATAACCCTATCACTGACATAATAACATGTTTTTTTACAAACAATGTTTTGACTTTGTGTGGTATTTGACAGCTCGGACTCGCTATGGGAGCAGGCTGCGGCGGAGGTGCTGAGCCTGGAGGCTGCAGGCGGGGAGGAGGAGGAGGTGGTCAGCGAGAGGACCGTGTTCCTCATGGGGAGCAAGGCTGGGGTTTGTTCACTGCCAAGCCACAACACTGACAGTACATGTATTGCTTTTGAATGGAAACAGTCTTGCTATAAGATAAGTTGTAGCTACTAAGTTCTCCTTTGCTTTCTTTTTCAGGGTAAAACGTCCATTCTCCTCAGATGCCTCGACAGGTGAGCATGGGGTTGGTCTAGTGAGTCTATGTTATCAACTATAACCTGAAAAGTGATGCAATCTAGCCTAACACACATAAAAAACGACTTTAAATGTGTTTTCTGTATGATTGGAAGAGACCATTCACTAGAAAACAAATGCTAACTATCAACATTAATACTTTGAGTATCAGAGGAACATCTTGGCCCGAGGAACAGGATGCAATATTTATAATCTATGTTCAAAGGTGCAGCTCAATTTGAGAAGCAGACGGTGATTAAATCACTGAAAGATTGTTAATTGACCTTTTTGCATTTGTGTTGTTTTTAAACACCAATATTGCTGTTTTTCTACCAGGGATGAACCATCCAAGCCAACTCTGGCTCTGGAGTATACTTTTGGCAGGAGGGCCCGAGGACACAACACAGTAAGAAAGCCCTGTTGGTCTTGGACACTTTGTAAAAAATAGGATTAAGACAAACAACAGATGGTCCTGACAAATACTTTCAATACCATCTTGTAATCTATTTTGATGAGAAGGAGTTGTGTGAAATGTAAGCCTAGTAAATACTACATTTAGCCATCACAACTTCTAGTAATTCTATTGTATTTTTGTATTCGGGATTGTGGGAAGCGGTATTTTGAACTCTCTGTCTGCACACACAAACTGAAAGATTGACAATAAAGTTGACTTTGACTAGTTCTCCAGCACATTGAGAATAATAATCCATGTTAATTCTGTATTTAAGTGACATTAAAGTCTATTTACTAAAACCAGAAATTATGAATTTATGTGCAATACAATGTTACTTTAAATGAGATAGTGTAATAATACTGTTGGTGGTGGCTTCCTCTTTCAGCCCAAAGACATAGCCCACCTATGGGAGCTGGGAGGAGGGACCTCTTTGTCAGACCTGGTCCAGATCCCCATCTCTCCAGCCAGCATCAGGTAGGTACCTCACACACATTCCTGATCATAAATGTATTTTGTTACATAGTTAAGCCACATTTCTCAACACACTGTTTGGATTGGTTGTTTTTAACTCTATATTTAAATCGGTAGAAAAATGTTAGTCATCTATATAGTAGTCATCACGGTTTGGACAGCAGTGTCAGGAGTTCCTTGCTCTGCGCCTCAGTGCTGTAGCAACACTTTTTGTATCCTACCAGATAACATACTCCTTGATGTCTATTACCAGGTCTCTCTCTGTCATCCTCATTGTGGACCTCTCTAAACCCAACGCCCTGTGGGGAACCCTGGAGAGGCTGCTGCAGGCATCACAAGCTCAGCTGGAGAAAGTCTCTTCCCAGGCACAAAAAGCACAGAAAGCCAAACCTGGAGCCAAACATCAGACGCCTGTCCACTCAGCACGCGTCCTACCGAAAGACTATCCTGTAAGACCTCAGCTCATCACACTCGACATTATATCAGCATTATCTATTCTTCAGTCCAGGGCAATAGTAGCATATAAACTATAAACTAATTATATGTTACAAATCAAAATGTGAAAAGAGAAATACTAATAAACTAAACAAACAAGGTGAAACCCAGAGAAAAGTTCACCAAAACTTTCCTCACAGTAGACACAAAGTTGGAATAATGTGTCTAATGCCTTCAGGTCAGAGGTAGGATGGTAAACAGGGGCGGACTGGGACTAAAAATCAGCCCGGGCATCTCGACCGGACCACTTCGGTCCCACTAGTCAATTATCAAGGGGGGGTGGCGGGTGGCTAGTGACTTATCCGACCGGCCCACATCGGTACCGCTAGTAAATTGTCAACGGGGGGCTAGTGACTTATCCGACCGGCCCACATCCGACCGGCCCACATCCGACCGGCCCACATCCTCCGACCGGCCCACTTCGGTACCGGCCCATCGGGATTCGTCCCGAAAGTCAGTCCGCCACTGATGGTAAATCTATCCTGATTTAATTGTGACTTTTCCAACAGGACAGAGAGCTGATCAGTCCCTTTCCTGTTCCTCTGCTCATCATCGGCAGTAAATATGACCTTTTTCAGGTAGAACACATGCTTCAGCGTAACCTTGAAGTTGGTCTCATATTGGCTAATTCACATATTTATGGATGTTTGTATGATTTGTTTTTACACATTATCGAAGGAGAGTTGTTTTCTGTCTGTTGCAGGAATTTGACTCTGATAAGAGGAAGGTAATAAGTAAAACACTGCGTTTTGTCGCCCACTACTACGCAGCCTCTCTGATTGTAAGTGAGCTTTAACTATACATGTGACATAAGCATAACATTTGATTAACATAACATTTGTTTTTTGTTGCTTTCTCTTACTATGGAATCTATAATTTCTTTCAACTGTTTCCACTGATTTAATTGTCCTCTCTTCCTGTTATTTGTCTTTTGTATCAGTTCACTAGCATCAAGACCGAGAGCCTGATGTCAAAAACCAAAGGCTTCTTCTCTCACATGGCTTTCGGTCTGGACAGAGGGTGAGGAGGGTAACACTGTTCACTAAGTGGATACTGACAGGGACTGGTATTATTTAGCTCTTTAAAAACATAAATATTAAAGTGGTATCACTGATACTTGGTAGATTTCCCAATTTACTTATACTTCAGCAGGACTTTGAAATGATATAATTAATTCATATAACAGCTTCAACCGTTTTGACCCTGTGATATGAACTCTAGCTCGAAATGGATTATACATTACGTACATTTGTTACTGTACTATAGGTTTAATACTTTGGTTTAAGTTGTATTTTTATCTTAATGTTATGATCAGGAAAACTGTGTGCTGTGACTGCACCAAGCCCCTCATCATTCCAACAGGCTCCGACTCCTTCAGCCAAATCGGTGAGCACAGCACCAACCGGTGGCCAAAAGCAGTAATGCATCCAAAATAAATAAAATAATCTTTGCTGCTGTTTGTAGGAAAAACGTCTGATTTATAGCCACCTCCTGGTGTTCTGACTTTCATTGTTGTGACCTGGATTGTTTTTTTTTGTCTTTGTTCCTTTAGGTTCCCCTCCTGCTACTGATGTTGACATTACTTCTCTGCATGCCAAAAACCCTAAGGACCTCTGGAAGAAAGTCTATGAGCTTGCCTTCCCCCAAGAGGTACTTCAATCCCCTTTTATCTTTATCCAAATTGCAAAAAGCAATGGATTCAGTCCCTGATGTTTAAGAAAAACAAGGCCCTCAAACTGGGCAATCTTATTCTCAGTATTCCTTCATATATGTATGCATGTTTACATGAACAAGGACATCTATCAAGAGTCCAATCGTAACGTGTTTGTGTTTCTTTGCAGTCTACCAGTGAGCAGAGGGAGCTAAAGGATCCAGCCAAAGACCCCCAGTACAGTGATCCTCAGATTGATGCCATGAGAGCCCAGAAAGATCAGGTGACACGTCTTGACCAATCACAATGCTTGTGTTGTATTACAGACTGTGCTTCTGCAGTCAGCGTCATAACTCGTGAGTTGGCAGTGTGTTGATCAATCGCTGACCTTCTAAATTCACCAGTCAGTTATCTGTGCTTTGTGACCCTAACCTTCCTGCTAAGAGGTATCGAGGAAGATAGTAGATTTAACTGCTCCGCATGTGTCTTAATCAAGGCCAATGCTCCAGAGTAACCTTCCCTGTTTCTGTCATGGTCTCATAAACAGACTGGCACTTGAACTGCAGTAACCTCACAGTGCTGTTATCGCTGGCACATAATGAGACGGCTCTGGGTAACCAATAAGAGAATTAGGGTAAAGGTTTATTTCCATAGGGACGTTTTTCAAGGCCAATTTGCCTTTCTGAGTTTGTGTTCCTGCTAGACCCAGATCGCACCTCATCACAGGGGGCGCGGGGTCTTAAAAAGTATTAAAAGTTGATAAATCAATTTAGCGAAAATGAAGGCTATTAAAAAGTATTAAACGGCATTTCCCAAGGTATTACATTTTGTAGCTTGTTTTCAATAAGTATATAAATTGTCCAAAGAGGTTGTATTCTACAGTCTGCCTGAATGTAATCATTGCGTAGGTGTGTAGTGTGATTCTGTGTAGATTATTTATGGCATCCCGTTGGATGTGACGTCATCTGAACAGGACATCGCACGCTCACTGCTTGATAGCTCGCGAAGGTCCGTTTACGCCGGTTGTTAAACAACATCGTTATGGGGAAATGCAAGTTTGCGTCCAAATGGTTGGAAGATAAGGAGGACGGACAATCAATACTGTATATAGTCAATGTGAGGTAAAGTGTGTCGCCAAGGTAACCGGTTAAAACTCAAAGTGGCGATGAGGTCTTAAAATGTATGGAAAGGGTCTTAAAAAAGGTCTTAAAAGGTATTTGACTTCAGGATTCCTGCATATACCCTGTAATAAGTACTAACATGCCCAAAATTGAAAGAAGCCCTAATGTAAGTTCAATAATGCAGTGTTCCTCTGTAGGCCTCACAAGTGTTTAAAACATAATATTACCCGTGCCCTATATCTACATTTACAGTACATTACAACCTTCATCTTCATTATTTTCCAGGTATTTCTGTATTATAGTGCATGTTTGTGCAACTACCTGCCATTTTTTTTAAGTGTACTTCATTCCTGTAGTAAGATATTATGTTTTAATATGCGCCTCTCTTTCTGTCGACATCTGCTTTCAGGAGTTGGAGCAGTATAAGAGGGAAGCAGCGAAATCATGGAAAGGACTGGAGCTGGAAACATGAGATCATCTGACTTATATTCACACAAACACACACCACATATTCATGTAAATACAGTGTATACTTATTTATTTCCTTTTGTGTCATTATGTTTTTTCAAACCTAACAAAACTACTTGTATACTAATGATAAAATATGTTCAAAAAATATCAATTTGACATCATTTAAACAAACATCACTTCTTATTCATTATACATTACAATCACAATATTTAAAAAAGTAATGCACTCAATATTCAATATAGTGCTTAGAACGTGAATATTCTTTAGTTTTTTGACAATACAGTACATAGCTGGCCATCATTCAATTTTGAATCAATATGGTGATTTGTAGTTAAATAAATCTCTATTCTGTATAAACTTTTATATAAAAATAATGATTTTTAAATATTTGCAGATATTTGTTACAGTCAGAAAGTACCTATTTAAACTGTACACAAGCTTAGGTTGAATCGGTCGGTCTGTCTCAGTTGTTGTTTGAGCCCAATCAGAGTTAAAGCAGCATGGATTAATAGTTATATTTATTACAGGGACCTCTCAGTTATTTAGCATAAAGTCATATCAATTGGCTTAAAGGTGGGGTATGTAATTCACTTCAGAAACGCTTTTTGTTATATTCCATGGAATGCTCTTAACATCCCGATATGCTTTGACAATAAATACATTAAAAAATGTCATCTGTGGAAGCCGTAGTACTGTAAAAAAAGCACGACCAATCATCTGAGCCGGCCCGGCTAAAATAACTGGATGGCCTACCTGCCTGTCAGCCTTCCATCTGTGCACCAACTTATCTCGTGCCCTCATTGGTCATGTGCGCGTTCGTGTGTGTTGGAGGAAGGGCTCTGTAAGGAAGTCTGAAGGAAGGGGCAGATTTTTTCCGGTTGTGTACTTTCAAATTCTAGCGCACTCGAGCTGGTTTCTCCAAAATGACATACCCCACCTTTAATGTCAATAGCTGCATCCCAGGTTCCACAGATACGTCCTGTTGTACTGTGCACACTGCAATGGGATTTTGATGGGATAAGTTCTTTGTACTTGCATCACTGCTCTGACATATTTAATACTATATTCTATAAAACTCAGGTAAGTGCTTACAAAGGAACATGCCTTGATTGATTGTTGGTGAAAAGGAAGCAAACACAGATGACACACTTCAGTACTCCTCATCTGTTTGGATTTACATCATAATGTAAATCTGTTTTTTCTTAATCTGTTTTACATCTTCAAAAAAGCAAACTCAGTTTATCGTTTTAAGATTACATCGTCCGAAGATTCTCCCTCAAAGGTTTGTCTGTGGTTTTAATGACGGATGAGCTTGTCTCTGATCTTGAAGCTGATGACGCCCAGCAGCAGGAGAGCGGGGAGGAAGGAGTAGAGGAGAACAAAGTCAAGTGTGTATCTGGACAGAGCGCCAGGGTAGCCCTCATCAATGATCTGACTGCCCTGAGTGATCATACAGGCGCCAGGCAGCATCGGTTTGGAAGCATCTGCAACAACACACCAGATAGAAAGTTAACAATATGTCGGGTTTTAAAGATAGTTCTAAAACAGCTCAAAAGTGTCTTTCAAGCTGTCCAAGTAAGACTCCTAATAGTCATGCATGGACACATATTGTCTGTGAGCACATCTTGTAAATAGCTACTGTGTATTTTTCTAGTTTCATTCTCAGAGTAGGTGAACACAGGACGGTGCCATGGTAAAACAACTTACTGCATGTGAAGTCGAGTCCGTAGAACTCCGTGACTATGAGCAGCTCACAGCTGTACTTCTGGAAGGTCAGGTAGCTGAGCCACTGGAAGACCACCGGCATCTGGAGGGTGCTCCTGTTGGAGGCAGAGGAGAGGGAGGTGGGTTACCCGTAGCATGTGTCAGTGGAAGTTGGCAGTGGTATCTATAATACCATCCTATACAATGAAAACCTGGAAAAAAGCCCTTCTTAAAAGTCTAAAATATGAACTGCTTTAGGTCAGTATGTATTCTAATGTTTTACCTCAGGAAGCCAGATCCCACCATGATCCCTGCAATATTGAGCAGAGCCACTCCAGAGTTGACCATGTTAGGGTTTTGGACCACTCCTAATAGCACCACAGTCAGAAGCTCACCTGAAGGTAAAACAAAAACGTAATTAATATATACAACTAAAAGTCATAATCAGGCGAAATATGACATTAAACAACCTCCGACATACTTATAGGTTTGACACTGTACTCGTGTGAGCTCAGAACATGTAAACAACAACAACAACATGAAGACAGTTTTACGATTGTTGGATAAGGATCGTGGAGATAAGCAGATTCTAGCGTGATTTTGTAATCCTTTACTTTACAAAAAGAATATGACTAAATGTGTGCTTGGGAGCTGTTAAAGAATGATAGTTGTTCTTCTTATCAGCTCACCTATAATATGTGGCACCAGGACTACAGCAGAATAACACAGGAAGCGCAAGGTGTCAGGGTGCATCCCCACCGTCCTGAAAGGAGAGGGGACAAACATAGTGGGAGGGAGAAAAGAAGAGTTAGTCCGGGGAGAGATCGGGTTTAGGCCGGGAATGTTTAAAGGGGACCTATCATGCAAAATGCACTTTTGTACGTCTTTTATACATGAATATGTGTCCCCGGTGTTCCAGGGAACTCACCAAGTGTCAGAAAACACAACCCTCTCTATTTTCCTCCATACCCAAATCTCTAAAAAAGGGGCTGCAACGGATCTGATAAAAACTTATCCAGATTTGAACACGTTACTGACATCAGGACAGTGGCGCTACGGCTATTGGGCCAACTCCACCAATCAGGAGGAGACAGCCACGGCCATTGCCGTTCGAAAGCGCTGGAGACGCTGTAGTACATATGCCAGGCCTGTAGGTGGTGCTGTTCTCACTGAATCTGCCCTTGCAAAAACAGAGCTAAAAAATGTCAAATTGAGCAAAATGAGGCATGGCTAAAATGCATGATCTGTTTGGTATTTTGAAAAAAAAAAAGTATAAATATGCCTTATATAGGTATGGTCCTACACTATATTATTAAAATATAGCATGATAGGTCCACTTTAAGTAAAAATGGTAGATCCTTTAAAGCCTTGAGGAAAGTTTAATGTGCACGTAGAATCCTTTAAACTAAATCACACTATGTATGATGCCCCATGGCCAACACAAACGTATGTACTACCCACCAGTAAAGGAAGGAGGTGAAGATGAAAACACTCAGGATGCTGAAGGGCAGGGTGTGGAAGATGTACGCCAAGAACATTTGCCATTTACTGTACAGACCATCCTGACTCTCCTGATCACTGATGGCTCGCAAGGCGGGGACTGAAAAGAGGATTAAACAATTATCACCTAAAGCCCATGAAGCTCTCAAAATGGATCATATTCAATACAAATAAAACTTCACATTTGCTTCTAAGGTGTACGTTGTTGTTAGAGTTAATTGAGGAAAGACTACAGGGAAGTCGATTTGAATTGTACTTACTTAACTATCACATTCAGGATTAGAATGCATACTTAAAGTACTAACATTTGACAGATTATATTGTGAAATCTTGATTTTAAAAAGAGAGGCATCATTAAAACAAATAAAGCTTTATTTGTTATACCTCATCACGAAGACCAAAGGTAATACAGTTCAAAGGTTACTGAATGTCCTTGACATCTAGTCTTGTTCCAGATCGATCAGACCATATTTCAGATTTGTTAAGTTATTCCGACAACTCATTAAACCTCAAGGTCAGTGTGATACACCTCCCCCTCATCACTACCTCCGGCTGTTTCAGTTCTTAGGAAGAGCTTTTAATTGCCTCTTACTTTAAAGTGATACTTCTGTTCAGCCCAGTGTGTTATCATATCTCTGATCCTCAGTATCACGCAGAGCCCTTAAACTCAACTGATAAGGGAGCAAGACATTGAAGAGATAATCACAACAAATACCCAATATCCTTCACTGGTTATTGTATTTTTTTAAATACACCTTAAGTGTGAAATCAAAGTTTAGACATATTTTAATTAAGCCTTTATTGCCTAATCAGTTCAAGATCTACTTAACCCCCTTAATTTAATCAATCCTAATTGGGATACAAATATTGTTTCTTGGCTGTTTTTTAAGTTGGAACTATGAAAAAATACATTATAATGAATTGAAAACATGGCCTGTATTTATCTGTCATCTCTGTGTCGATACAGTAAGTGTGTGAACGTTTATCTGCATTGAGGTTACTACAGGTCACAGCAGCTGCTTTAAATACTAACCATTAACCCTTTCAACACAAGGAGACACAAACACATGTCAAGACAGATAACATACTGTAGATACTGTAGTCTAGTATAGGCCTGTATGTGGAAGGCACTTGGGTTCATTGAGCTTTAAATAGAGGAAAGGTCAACGTCCCTCTGCAGGTAAACCATACATAACAGCCTAACTAACTGTGGACATTTCTACAGCAAATAACACATTTAACATGTATAAAGGAAATGCAGATACTCCTCAAATTAAAACTATGCTAATAGACATGTTTTGTTGATACAGATTAAGACACATTTCTGATCAAATCAAACTGCAGTTCTAATCTGTTGTACTAATGCTATAATTAAATCATACCACTTCATGTTTTACTTTGACCTACGAGAGACACTGGTGGGAAATACAGTCTCTTTGGGTATTTTCAACGAGCAAACGCCAAGCTAGACGTAACATATTTCTGCTGAAGGGATCAAAAATAGTGCAGAGCCCTTTCACCTACCAAACAAGAGATAAGCGAGCTTACACAGCTGAGATAAAGTCGTTTCGAACATGCTGTTTGATAAAGATAATACATTGAATTGCCCTGAAGTCATCGTATCTCCCTCATGTTAACATGTATACGGTGATATATGCAGGCACCCTGTCTTTTACTTTGGATATTCCAGTAAGTCCAACAATGTTAGTTATTTAATATTAAGACTCAGAACTGAGACAAATGGTGGTGTCATACAGGTACAGTTGCTTCATAGTAATGTTTCATTTTAGTTTTTGAAAAAGGATCGATTTTCAGGAAACAACCTTGGATTTTCCAGGTCAATGTCTAATACATTGTTTACGTTATCTATCATAGATTACTTTTGTTTCGCTTTCTGCATTCATATTTGATATTCTGGACAGGATGACATGAAATGGGTAGAGATAGGGGACGACATGCAGCAATATGGGAATATGTATCTGGAACACTCTGCCCCTCCATGTGAGGTCGGCCCAGACCCTAGGGGTTTTTAAATCAAAACTAAAAACACACTTCTTCTCTCTGGCTTTCTAGTTAGAGTGGAGCACGACTCCTGACTTTTCCGCGTGTTTTATTTTTATTTTGTTTTTAAGATATATCTGTTGTAATTTATTGTCGTTTATTGTGATTTGTAGTAATGTGTTTTTATTACATGTACAGCACTTTGGCTCGACCAAAAATCGCTTTTAAATGTGCTATATAAATAAAACCTGATTTGATTTGATTTGATTTATGTACACTATCTGAGAGTTGCTTGAAATGTAAAGAGTGCAAACGTTTCACTTTCAGTTAAAATGTCTGGAAAAATCATAAACGTGGATTCAAGTGAATGTTATCCTTCTATGTACAGGTGTGTGGTGTTCTTGGGACTCACAGAGAGCTACAGCATTCAGCATGCCGGTGTAAGGTGAAGCTCCAATGCTCTGATAGATGATGCCGATGCGGTCCTGCACTGCTCCCTTACTGACGTCCATGTCTAGATGCATCACGAAGAAAGCCACGAAGAGACCGTAGATCAGGTTCTGGGACAGACGCATCAGGACCCCCATCCTGTCTCTGGATAGGTTTCTTAGTGTCCGCCTGCACGCAGAACACACATAGAGATACATGTAAACAAACACACATACTTTACCTGTTGTCAGATGCACAATCATACGGCAACAGAAAAAAACATAAGGCGATGAGACACAGGTGGCAAACAGGAACAAGTTATGAAGACAGAAGGAACTACCTTTAACTTGCAACACGATATATAGAAATGATTAACAGGTGGTTTTTGTACAAGAATGACAAAGATGCATGAGTGTACTTAGGAATCTAAATCTAAATGTCTGTGGTAGGCAGTAATCAGCTGTTTTGTTTTGGTTATATCTACTGTAGGGGCTGAGGCTCTGACCTGAACAGAACTGCCAGTTTGGCTGCACCGCTGGGGGACTCTTTGCTCTTATAGGGGATGGCTGGCTTGTCCACCCGCTGCAGGCTCTGCTCCAGTTTTCCCAGCATGCACTGGTAGATGGGAGACTTCTGATAGGACGAGGTGATCTCATGCATGCGACTGAAAGTGGCTGCTTCCCTCTCACTGCTGCGTGTGTCCACTGAGGTGAAGTCAACTGTTTGAAATGACACACATATTAATATTTGAATGTTCATGCCACACATACACTTGTTTTTTTGATATGCAAAAGGTGTACATATTTTTTTATTAGTAACAAATGTAATAGCATGTGGTACCAAAGATGTCAAAAGGGTTGCAGTACTCTGGACACTCATATCCACACTGGCTGAAGAAGCCCACCATCTCCTCTGGCTGTCCACAGAACACCAGCTCCCCACGACTCATTATAGCTATCCTGCTGAACACCTGTGACACACACACACACACACACACACACACACACACACACACACACACACACACACACACACACACACACACACACACACACACACACACACACACACACACACACACACACACACTTGTATAAGTTGAAAAACAAATCTGAACAAAATGTGAATCTGTTCTTTAAGAAAGTTTCACTCTTTTACTTCAGCTTCTCTCTGAACTCACCCTGAAGAGCTCGGAGCGTGGTTGGTGGATGGTTACTATGACGATACGGTTCCTCCTGGCAAGCTCGGCCAGCAGCTCCACGATCTGATTGGCCGTCATGCTGTCCAGGCCGGTGGTCGGCTCATCCAATAGGATCACCCCTGCAGTAACATCAACCCACTGACATCATCACCCTCACGCAGGTGTGTCTCACATTGAAACACAAGCAGCACAATAACTTTTTCGTGGAAACTTTCAAATGTACTTCACATTAAGTGGCACATGCAGGACCCTCAACGGGGCCAACTTAACTTGTGAAGATAAGTGAGTTCTCTTTTTTTCTTTTTTTAGTTAATTACTCTAATTAGGACAATTAAAAGATTGCCTCTTTGCATTATGAAAGCAGGGTGGAATTAGCAGATGCTTTAATTGTGAGATTAATTCATTTCCTGGTTGATTGGAAAGGCAGCGAATGGGAACCTCTCATCACTTTGTGTGCGGCTTTGCGTGTGTGCGTGTGTGCGTGTGTGTGTGTGTGTGTGTGTGTGTGTGTGTGTGTGTGTGTGTGTGTGTGTGTGTGTGTGTGTGTGTGTGTGTGTGTGTGTGTCCATGGCCAGGATTAAATGAGGACTGAGACCCTTCAACCTCCCAGGAGGACTGCATGACTGATAAACTACACCTGGGATGAGCCCAAGCACACTCCCACACACACACACACACACACACACACACACACACACACACACACACACACACACACACACACACACACACACACACACACACACACACACACACACACACACACACACACACACACACACAGTTGGGTCTCTGCTCATTCCCTTCCTTGTGTGATAACCCGCTCTTTCATTACTCTTCTCCATCTCTCCCTCTGTCCTTTCCTTATTCCTCTCTTACTCAGACCCCTTTGTGTTTAAGACTCCTTCTAGAAGTCTCTGGGGAGAGAGATATCTTCTGCTGAATTTCTTCTGTTTCAGACACATAGCACAACCCTATTGCTTTCATAAGTATCTCCAGCAGCATTTGCATACAGTATCATTTGTTATATAGGTCTAATTTTGACTGTCTTTGAAGTATGGACTACACTGAGTGTTGAGTTATTTCCAGTATTTTACACACACATTTTACATAATTTGTTATTCTAAGTAGTCAGATGGTAAGGTATTTATGCTGCTGAAACTTCTGTGAGTGAAAGTTTAAGAAAAGTAGAAGCATTGCATAATTTAGTCATGTTTTTGGGCGTATGTTTCTTCTTAAGGGGGGAATTATATGTGTTTTACGGTTTTTAACGTTTTTTAAGATGGCCAGGTTAAGCAAATCACACTCTATAAATATATCATGTGCAGCTTAGTTGTTTAAGAGAGGGGTACATATATTTGTAGAATGATATTTGCTGACACTTCAGGTTCAACAGTGGTCTAGATCTCTAGTGTTAATGCAATAATTTACTAATCTCCTTACTGTGCTGAATATTAGGGACATCTTTCTGATATTCTGTCGCAGCCCATTTTGTATAATCTCCAAACAATGTGTCTCAAACCTTAAAATAAATCCCCTCTAACGCTTTAGTTTATCTACTTCCCATCTCCTCATTTATTTCAGTAAAGCTTTAAGACTCTAAGTGATAGTAGTGTTCACCTTCGCAGCTAAAGGGCCCTTTGGAAGTTCCTGATTCTCAGATAACACGTATATTTCCCAGCTGCAGAGATACTCACTGGGGTCCTGAAGAAGCTGGCTGGCGATGGAGACCCTCCTCCTCTCGCCCCCAGAGATCCCTGGGAAAACCCGACCTCCGATGACACTGTGGGACACGTGACTCAGACTCAGCTCGGCCATCACCGCCGACACCTGCACAGGCCAGAGGTCAAAGGTCAGGTGACAAGGGCCTAGATCAGGGGTGTCCAAAACTACAGGGACATTTTGACATTTTGATCGGCCCTCAGCAAATTCAAAAAGTACAATGGAATACGGCCCACAAATTAAATTTGAGCTTTTCTTGTATTGTACTTATTAAATGTATCTCTAAACATATATTACACAGTAGTGTTCATGTGTTTATAAGCCCAATTTACAATCAATTCAGTCAATTACATTTGAAAATATGTTCTAACAATTCTAAGTCGATAAGAAAAAAGCCCAATAACTTCTATACATAACAAACTTGAAATATACCCTTCCTATTCCCTCTTATGATAATCAATCTGGGGCTCCTGTTGTAAGGGTTGAGCTGCTTACAAGTGAAATGAAACTCTCTGGAGAGCTGTTTATTAGATGCTAGCTCTAATTAGTATGAATATTTTCTGCTCATTACTGCCCTATGAAATGGTTCTGCGTGAAGGACAGGGTCATAAGGAAATATGGAATATAGGAAATAAGAGGAAGTCATTCCTTTTCATTTCTAAGTTAAAAAATTGATGAGCAGAATATCAGCATTATACCGGCTGCATCAGTGAAAGTGTTCATGACTAGCTGAAGCAAAGACACGTTGGTACAATGTAAATCTTTAGGGGTTCAAATGAATATCTAACTCATCTGACTCGAAGAAATGTTAACATCTTTATATACTCAAATAATCCTGAGGTGTACATACGTAACTGTCTTTTACCATAACACTGTGCCTCAGAATATGTACATCAGAATATCACAATGCAGTTGGGACAATGCCATGATAAATAACAAGACTAAATTAACATCTTTACATTTGGGTATCATGCAGTTATTCGGATAAAAACCCTGCTATTTGCTGACATCCTGAATAACAAATGGGGAAGGATTCTTGAAATAAAACTTGTATTTTATCTAGCCTGCTGAAATGCCAAGTTCCAGCTGAGGAAAACTGATAGGGTGCAGAAGAGGCTCTTGAAAGTCACCTTCTTCTTGATGGCTGTGGACGAGAGTTTCCGCAGGGCCAGCTGAGCGGTGTAGGTCAGAGTCTCCTCCACTGTCAGATAACTCAACAAGTTATCACTCTGGAGAAGGAAGAGGGAAGAGAGAGTAAAAAAGAAAGTAGGTGATGCAGGTTGACCGACTTCATGGATGTTTCTTACTTATGGAGGATAAGTAATTATGTCCACCATGAAGAACATATCTGTCTTCCTGTTGTGTGTACTCTAGTATTCAAACTACAATGTATCTTGAAACATATTGAGGGGAAATGGCACAACATGTCCTTTAAACATCCTCATTCAAGTTGAGATTTCAGAGTATGTGTCATCTTTACATTCATATAGGACACATACAGCAGTATACTTGATATATACTGTATGTTCATATATTCCATCTGGAACACACACACACACACACACACACACACACACACACACACACACACACACACACACACACACACACACACACACACACACACACACACCCACACACACACACACACACACACACACACACACATTGCTTGAACCTGCTGCCTGCCTCAATTAACACGTGGCGCCTCCCAATCCCACTCCTCCTCAGTCTCTCGTCTGAATGACTTTAATATCAGGAGCTCATATCACCTCCTCATCTACAGCTTAGCAGGGGAAGTTAATGACGAGGCTTAGAGAGCAGAGGGGGGGTGCTATCAGCCAGGAGAGGGAGATGATTTGAAAGGAAGCAAGGCCAGTTTTAAGACTGTTTTTAATTCAGGCTTTGGATACACTTGAGCACCTCTCATTGAGAGATTAAGTGTATGAGGAGGCCAGCGAGGGCCTTCAGTTAATTTCATCCAGAGGCCAGGGCAACCTTTCCAGGAGTTTTTACCAAGTGAGACACGTTCATTGACTTTGTGGTGGTTAGCAACAAGCAACTTTAACACAAGCAAACTTTCTGCATGCAGCCGCTCACATTTAATAGTTTTGGACCAGGGCTCTTTAACGTTTCTCAGGCCAAAGACCCCTTAGCTAAAGAGCAATGGAGCAGGGACCCCCTATTTCATATGAATAAACTGCATATTAAACAAAAATACCATGTAGGGTGATCTAAAGTGCCATGTATAAACAAACCTTTTTATGGTGCATGCAATACGAAGCAGACTATCATCAATGTTGTGTTGATTATTATTTTTAATATGTGTGTCAGTTACAATTAGTCAATTAGTCAGTTACTCTGACGACCCCCTTTCAAACCAATTATTTATCAAAAGTTTAACCTGAAAAAAGCAAAATGTGCATGTGATTTAGTGCTTTTTCAATTTGTATTTATTTATTTTATTCAGTCTTGTTAGGCCGCGCTGAAGGCCCAGTTTGAACCATCTAGAAAAACCTAATGAATTACTGTGGTCAGATATAACTGATAATAACTGATAGTCTCTGTTTATACTGGAGGTCTGTGTTACCTGCAGCACATAGGAGAAGCAGTCCTGATACTCCTCTCTCTTCAGGTTCATGCCGTTAACAAAGACCTCCCCCGTCAGCGTGCCACAGTTTCCAATCCTCCCTGAGACCGCATCCAGCAGTGTGGTCTTTCCTGAACCTGTACAAGATAAAGTGAACACTCACACACAAGGATACATAGGTACATTAAAGTATTTAAAGACAGGGTACATCTTGTCACATTTAATAACATTTTGGAAGGGGGAACAGAAGGAACACATGAATGCATGTTAGTTGCATCAGGGCATTTCCCCAATCTCACAATCTGGTTTTAACCAATTGAAGGTGGGGTAGGTAAGTTTGAGAAACCGGCTCGAGATACACTTTTTGTTATATTCCATGGAATGCTCTTAACATCCCGATAGCAATGAATATCTTAAGTGCTTTGACAAAAAATCCGGCTAAAATAACTGGATGGCCTACCTGCCTGTCAGCCTTCCATCTGTGCAAAAACTTATCTCGTGCCCTCATTGGTCATGTGCGCGTTCGTGTGTGTTGGAGGAGGGGCTCTGTAAGGAAGTGGCAGATTTTTTCCGGTTGTGTATTTTCAAATTCTAGCTCACTCGAGCTGGTTTCTCCAAAATTACCTACCCTACCTTTAATATAACCTGTAGCCAAAATAGATAGCAGCCACCAAATTGCCTGTTAAACACCCTTTAGCATAACATCATTAATTATTTAGATGAAGTCAATGTATAATACCTAAATAACTCAGATCCATTCCCTTTAAAAATGATATTACTGTATGTTTAAAAAAAACAAACGGATTTATTGAATGTGTTGATTATTTGTTGAGTGTTAACTCTGCTGTTTGGACAGTGTTCCTTTAGGTGCGAACCTGAATTTCCCAGAATGCCCATGATCTGCCCGCTCTCTACGTGAAAGGAGACGTCATTGAGGATCTGACGAGTCCATCGCTT